TAAATACTTGTCGATGTGCAACAATATTTCCTGTACATATTAAACCTCGATTTAGTGTGTAATTAATTCCCATACTTCCTACACTAATATAGCCGCACAAATGTGCCATTTCAAGTAATTTTGATACACAATTTTAATCCTTCCTTTACATGATGACATAATTCTCCTTCCTAAATGTCAGTAAACATATTATGTATTAAATTGCAGATTTTAAGTGTAATGAAATACTGATTTTTAGAAGTTGAATTAAATACTTGAATTTATGCTGAAGAAAAAAGTTTTAAAAAATATAAAACTAATTATTCTCTTCTCGAATACAGTAAAATTATATTTCTCTGTATTAGTGTTATAGATTGACTCTAGTTTACAGAAGAAAACTTGTTTTCTGAAATTTTCTGGAATTTACGGAATTTTTACGGAGTTTACGGAATTTATGAACGTTTCATTTGGTATTAACATTTACTTTGCAAGACAAATGATTAGGTGCCTAACATGCGTAAACACGGACAATCGAAAATTGTTGATAATAGCAAAATCTGTTCATAGCAACATTGTCAGTCTTATAGGTATAGTCTTACATCGAAGGTTATGAGATATAATCAAGCTTTCAGTCACTGAGAGAGGCGATTGGTAAGATTTACTGATTCATATTTTAGACGGGAAATAGCAAGTAAATCAATGTTATTAATAAACATAATTTACGAAGAAATTTCACTGAATTACATTTTTATGTCGTTCAAATTATGAATGGAATTAATGCAATTTCTTATTTAAAAAAACGTTTTATGGCATTGGACAGATGTTGGTGTTCTGGTTTATTTTTTATGTTGTAACCATTCCTTTTTGGAATTTTGGTGTTGACTCAAATAATAACCTGAAAAATTGCTCTTTTATATTTTATCTTTGCAATGCTTCTCAACGAACCATAACCTCTGATGCCTTGTTCCTTAATTTCAAAGCACGTAGTATCTTCAGAGTTTAAAAGTTACTTTGAAGTTTTTTGTGATGCGTAGGTTAAGGATAAGCTTACATCTTAAAGTTAGAGGTGGGAACTTTCAATTCTGTTAGGAAAGAATTTCACAAATTTCTAACACGCTTATTACCAGTGGCTTGATTGTTTATACGTACAAACGTGTTTTATTTTATTATCTTAATTAGAAAATCGGAAGTGTTGTTTTTGTATTTTTTCCTCTACTATTAAAAGAAGTTATTACACGTTCCAATGTAAACAAGGAAATTTTTATATCTTTCTGAATTTGTTTACAAATTGGTTCAAGAGTTTAGACTGTAGCGTGAAAGATTAAGCGATTGTAATGTGGGGAAACGCAGTGCTTTTAATCATTAAAGAATTCTTCTTCCCACTAACAAGACTATTTTTCATGGATTTAAATCTGCTTTTCAAGTGTACTTTATCGCCTCTGGCCAACAATAGTGCGTTCAGAGCATAATAATTTAGGACGGTTGTATTTAGAGCTCAGTCGAGGTTTATTTGTCCTGGGATGGGATTATTAAACGACGTACTATACATGTTTTTTAATTAAATTATTCACTTTTAAATATGGGATACGGTTAGGCCGCAATATTTGTAAACTACAATATTATCTAATTGCTCTCTGGTCATGTGTTCAATTTTGTTTATGTTGTAAAATGCTCATTTTCGTATTGCAAATTATCCCTCAGCTTCCTTTTTTTAGAAATAATGATTGTACGGTTCGTCCATTTCGATCATTTGTTCTATGCCACATTCCGTTATTTGACAAGTTTATATAAAATATGGAGTCGACCTATAAAGAAGTCTTGCCTTAAATTTGTGAAAATCTTTTAAATAATTTTTACAAATGGCGTTTATTTCTCTTGTTATTTCAGTATTGACGTTTCTGGCAGGTAAAATAAAATACATTTTTCCTCTTATAGAACCTGTTTCTTATCCATCAAGTCATATTCATCAACGTGCTTGAGAAATGGCTTAAATTTTGGGATACATTTAAAAATTTCGCCCAACAAAGATGCACGCAGAAAATAAGATATGTGTAGGATGTGTCCTAACATCTAATACAAATGTTTTTAATATTTTTTTCAATAATATGTATCATTTGTAATTTTGTGCAGTTTATGAACGTAAGAACAATAATCAGTGGTAGTTTTTCTTCCTCTAAGGATTAGTACAACACACACACACATCCCTTGGATTCAGTATGAAAATCAAAATAATTGGGCGTAGCTGTCTAAAGAACGTCATTTGCTTACATTTTACATTTTGTGAGTTGGACTAGTATTGCATAACGCTATTGAACTGAAGTATAAATTGAAATGAGTAATATACCTTTCGCTTTAATAATGAAGGAGGATGGATTCGAAAATAAATTTGAGATGCCTTGGAGATCGCATCGAACTAAAGAAATATCTGTAGAAACGTTCCACATATTTACTGTAAGAAAAATAGGAAAGCAGGGACAAAACAATCACAATTAACTGTGGGTAATACAAAGGTGAAAATTTTTCTGACAATGTAATTGAAGTGCTTCATATTTACCAAAATCTGTAAGTTATAAGAAATTATAGAAAACAAATTCTCTAGTCCATTTTAATATGTTCTACAAAGTAATGCATCACATGTAATATAATCACTAATTTTTTTGTGAAAGGACGGATCAGACGAATACTGAATATTGCGTTTATTTACTCATTAACCTTTGAATTTTAAAGCACTTAATCTTCGAATTTAAAAAAACCTCATTCTCTTCGCTTCACTAATCTTAACCTCACACTCACATCTTTACTCGAAGAAATGTCGACTGCTGTCTACAACTCGTCGATTACTACTCGTACTAATGAACAAATGACGGCAAATATGGTATTAACTTTAAGATATTATCAACATTTAGCCTGTATAAAATCGGTTATCCGTCACATACCAACGCCATTTTAATACTTGAGAATACCAGTATGGTCGGACAATGCCGGCCTCAGAATAAATCGCAATGTAATTTAAGATTTTCTTTATATTTAAGAAATAATATTTCAAGTATTTATAAAAACACTACAATCGTTTTCTGCATGTTTGTTTTAAATATTTTGTTTTGAAGGAATAATACGAACAGAAACAATTTGCGATAATTTTTACGTCATCTTTTAAAAATGAAGTTCAAAATGCATATCGTTCGTTTTACTGCACCACAGTTGTAAACAGATGTAAAATAAGATTTGAATGTGATTATGGCCAGTCCACGCTGTATGGAAACGAAGGAATTTCCACCCGAAAGAGATAACTCATGGCTAAGGTGTCGACTTTTTCCTAAAAATCGAATTAGCGTCGAAATTCCAAAGCGTCTCTAAATAAAATTAAAAAACGATAAAATGATAAAAATCCTAAACACTGAAACTGTAAATCCTTAGTGAAAAAGATATGAGAAAATAAACAGTCTAGGCTCCTGGTTCATCCTCCTCGATTGGTCTGCGAGTGTTAATGTACATTTGTTTTCCTTCAAAACAAAACAAAACCAAACATCTCTTTTAGCGCGTTTTGTTTGGAGTGCCATCGCCCCCTCCCCCGCCCTCTGCTCTGTGGTGGAGCATTTTCGATACTCTGGAGCGCGGCGCGACGCGGCGCGGGGCCGGTGCGAGTCGTGAGCGCGGGTGACGGGGTGAGCGCGAGAAGCTGCTCGCGAGAGGCGCTGAACGAGAAGGTGAGCTGAGAGCACTGCCTGAGAGCGTGGCCACTCGGCTGGAGGTCTGCACCGCGACCCGCGAGTAGGACTGCGACCGGTGCTTGAGTTTACCGTATAGTACCACAGAAGTGACGAAAATATTTTAAATAAAATCTGGTTTAGTAATGTATAAGACGACGTTTAATTACGTAGTGACATTGAAATTCGTAAATTTCGAAATTGGTTGATTGGATTTTTTTGTACTCGAAATAAATTTTAACGTAAGCTATTGAACATCTTAGAATCAAAGATTTCAACTGATAATTAATGTGGTTCTACTAACATAGTGCTGAAAAATAAAAATCATTGAACTGAATAAAAATAATTGAATTGAAGCTATTTCTAGAATTGTTAACTTACCTTTTGTTTCTGTATTTTAAAGTATTTTTCTTACTTTTATTTACACGATATTTTTATACCGACTGAGGTTTTCAGTCGTTCAAGTAGTAAACGTTTTATTTCTGACAGCACACGCATTTATTAATTCAGAACATGTTCACTCTCCAATCTTCCCTTGCTTTCTCTACGGTTGATAATTCAAATATTTCCTCAAATCTTGTAGTATTTAATTAATTAAAAATAGTACCTTGTGGCGTACAGATTTGCTCAGAACATGGTTATGGATGAATACATTGTCTCCAGGACTGAAAGTGTGCAGTCTTAAAGAGCAAGTCGCGGGTTTTCGTGAGCTTCTTTGCACATTGCATCACTACATTTACCGCAGGGTCGACGCAACGGAAGGAAATGGCCTCGCCACATATCACCCGGAATTTCTCGTTCAGATTACGGAAACCAGCAGTCGGCGTGCGTCTTTAAAGCTCTTAATTTCTCGAAATTTGTGTTATGTAACATATGGCGATATGCATATTTATGAACTCGTCTCTTCACGCTTGTTATGATGAGCTAAAAGTCTACCGGGTTCCATTTAAAAAATTGAAGTTGGGTCAATATCTCTGCAATAAAAAATGCAATTGAATAATATTATGCATGATCATATGTGACCCTTGCATATAGTAGCTTTAGTGAAAACCACATCTCAGTATCTGCAACGGTTCAGGGTAAAATTGAAGAGAACATCTTAGGTGGGCCACACACACACACACATGTGTGTGCGTGTGTGCGTGCGTGCGTGTGTGTGTATATGTATAATTCATACAGTTCACAGATCTTATCGTGGGGTGGACATGTGGCCAGAGAACTGGCGGTTTTGAATATTCGTGAGACTGCCACCGTGAAAAGGGAACGGCAGCGGCGATTCCAACACGCACACACAGACACACACACCCAAAATGAATGGCGATCTTTGGAGAAATCTGCCCACGAAGGCACGCTTTCGTCCTGCTTTCCGAAACGGTCGAGTACGTAGCGCGTGGCAGACGGATTCGTGACCTGGCAGTGAGGCAGAAGCTGCCGGAGCACGGGCCACGCGAGCAGCTGCTCGCTGCGGTGCGGGACTGTATGAACCCTCAGGTGTGCTGCTGCGAAGAGTGCCCTGCCGAGCATTTCTCGGCAGCTCAGAGCCAGGGCCTTGCTAGAAAGGTCGCGTCTTTCAGGAGATGGACCTGTTATATCCTTTGGCGGGTGTGTCACAGTGAGGAGGCCGTCAGAGGTTGGAACGCTTGCTCCTCATTCAGCGATCCAATGCCGGAGCGTGTGAGCTGCCCACGGGGTAAGAGCCGTGGACGGTCGAAACGTGAGTGCAGAACTGAATTTAAGGAATAATAAAAAAATAGAATATACTAATGGAAAATAGACTAATAGAATATACTAATGGCTCAATTAGGAATGAAGCATCATCACTGAAAGAAGTGAGGTAAAGATACGTTTGTTTACAGACCCACAGATCACTGTTGTCTACCTCGTTCTCTGAATGGCCACTCAACAATTTCTTATTTATACACTTACTGTTGTTGTGATAAATATTTCATTAATTTTCATTAGTATTTATTTGCTGTGTAATATAGAGTTACCATTTGTAATGTTTAAAGAACATGATTATATGTGAATTTGCATACTATAATTTTTTTTATTTTTAGTTTTGGTTCTTATTCACTATATTCTTTCAATTTTCCTGATCCTCATCGTCGAACCTGCCCTTCATTGATCGAATCACGCAAAGAGCAAAATTACCTCCCGGGGGCGGTGGCGCACGCGCGCCTCGGCCGTCCACGAAGACAAGCACCGCACGCTTCCATCCGCTCAATTACGCCCATCCAGCGATAAGCAGCCCCTCGCCACGCCCCCTCGCGCGGGCGATCGCTATCTCCCCGGCGATTGCGTTTTTCCTCTTCATTAATTACCGGAGTGCACCGTCCTCAATTTTATAGCACGCAGTTTATCTTCCAGAATTTAAAGTTCTGCCTTGAAATAACGCTAAAGACGAATTTTTGAAGGGCGCAAAATCGTTCTTTTTTTTAAACATATTTATTTGTTATGGATATGGAATACTTTGTTTAGTATAATTTCTTTACAGATGTTTTTTAGACTTATGCTTGTCTATATAAGCTAACTTAATCTATACAATGGAGAAGATACTCTAGGGGAGAGCCTCGGGGTCATGAATCATGGTTGGCTAAGATTTTGAGAAAGGCTTCAAACTGGATTTATGTTTTTCGGGTGTGGGTTGGAGTTTTCACTACGTTGAAATCGTTGCTGTGCTATGTCACGCTTGTAGCGTGCGAGAGAAATGGCTGGCGAGTTTGAATCATTCGATACTTTTCATCCTAACTACTCGTAGTTCGCAACCAGTGAATAACACAAGCAATTGATAAAGTAAGAGTATAAAGATTTTCTTGTCGGGCTCTGGCGGCGGCCATAGAAGTCATAAAACCAGTTGGAAGCATTGGTTTAGATTTAGATTTATTCAGTCAAAAAAACAGTAAAAACTGTATGTGACATAGAGGAGGAAAGAGGTTGTTCAACATGGTGATAAATTAAATCTAGTGGTGCCACAAATAGGCATAGAATTTCTCGTACGATTAAGTTTTATAATTTCTTTGATTTGGGGTAAATTTTTGGTCTTGCTAGTGGTCAATTATTGCTGCCCAAACCATGTTTAATAATAACGATTTATGATCCAAAAGAATTCTTATAACAATATTACAAGCATTAATAGATACAATATTTCAATTCAAAAAAATGTATACTCATTTACACAAACAACTAATCCAGAAAAAAACACATTATTGATACAAAAAAAAATAACAAAATATTACTTACAAATAAAATTATTATAATTAATAGCCTAATATATAATCTATTATATTCCTTTGATTCCACAAATCAACATTCTTATTAAACTAATAAAGCTAAATACAATAAAAAAATAATCATAAACATATAGCCAATCATAAACAATAAGCCATGAAATGCGACATAAAGAATATTAACTTTACGAAGCGCAACAAATTCAAAGCTGGAGTCAATGCTTGATTCCAAATTCCACAAAAAATGCTCATATTTTCGAAAAATTGAACATGATATTATTTTAAGATCCATTTTTGATAAACACATTTAATTAAGAAAAAGGTATCTTCACAATTATAGTCGTAGGAAGGCGCCGAAAAAAATTATTTTGCAATTTCGAAAAATCAGGGATTTTAGCGAAATGAGACTTGCACCATTTGCCTAAACGTAGTTGACACTATCCAACAAAAAAATGTAATAAAAAACGTTGGAGGCATTTTTTAAAAAAATTGAAAATGTCCTACGGGCTAGAGTAGAGGGCGACTACCCCAAAGTTAAAATATTGGTTTCAAATTCAAATGACCGCGATATCAGCCAGATCAATTGGAGAATTTCAATTTTGCAGAAAATCGGTTGAACGGTTTAACAGCTAGGATTGTTCACAGACAGACGGACAAACAATCAGGTTGATGGTCAGACGTTTTGCCGTCAATCGATTTTTCGGTGCCAAGAATCCCTCGTGTTCTCTCGCTTTCGCCAAGACTGACTCGTTCATTTGCGGTTCCGCCTCGGCAACAGCGCCCGCGCGATTCAATTGCTGGGAGTTAGAAACGCGTTACGTTTCAATACTATGGAGTAAATGTGAATAACACTTTTGTTTACGTTTATATATTTTGTTTATCTTAACTATGTTGTATTCTGTGTTGGTTGCCTGATGTTACCTCAAATGTTATGTCAAAATAATCCAGAAATGTTATAATATACTTTTGTAGAATAAATAATATTAACAATACTTACATATTACTTAAATAATATATTATATTTTATCGGAAAAGTTTTGTATTTGTATGTCACTGTTGTTATGCTGATATGAATAACTGTTTCGAGTAGTGTCCACTTTTTTCTCTATTTTCGTTTATCTAATGTTTAACTGAAGAGAGAGAGAGCTTAAAATTCTTTGGTAATTCCTGCCAATCCCTGCTAATCCCTGCCAAGTTTATCTGACTAGTTTCTAAGCTTTCATATGAAATCTCAATCAGCTCTGAAGATCTTAAACTTAACGTAATCGAGGTGGGGTTTCCATTCCATATGAGGAATTTATTGCTTATCTGGTTTTATACTAAGATTGTAGGATTGTGAGGAAGACACTGTAGAAAATTATCATGCTCTGCACTTTTTACTTCTGCTGAGTATAAATGATGTGTACATTTGTTCAGTAGATCCGACTGCAATGAAACGAATATTTTTGAATTTATTTATGAGTAGGATTAAAATAAATTCAGTAAACACAAATTAATAAATAACCTTGAATAGGGAGAGGAACAAAGGACGATAAAAGAAAACACACCCAAGAAGAGATAGTTATTTTTCATAATTTCATATGATATGTAAAAACTTTAACAAATATTTGAACATTACATCCATCATAACTTGAGACTACTTTCATCAGCCCAAAGACCTTCGTACATAAAAGCCTGTTATTATTTCTGTATGCAGAAAGAAATTACTTTCATTATTAATTTTTCTTTATCATGTAGTTTTTATGTTTCAATGTTATTTTATATGTAAAGGATATATTTATTAGTACGGTCCGTTATTATTAATTTATACTTCTTTACTTGACTACATTTACGTTGGAAGGGCGTTCAGTACATGCGGAAATATTTCTACTTTTTCTAGTGGAAAGAACATTTAAAAGGAGATCATAAGTATTCCAAAGCAGCAAAAGACTTATAAAATATAAGTAAATCAGTTGATATTTTCCATCTCTGACCAATTTGTGCTTCAAAGCAGTTTATTTTTCTAAAATCGTAATTAAAAGAAGAAACAATTAATGTTCATGAGCACAGAGCCCAAAGCCCAATTCTTTGTTTCAAGAATTTGGCAAAATAATAACAATAAAATGCCATAAGTCGCATGAGAGTGCGCTCTACATTGTTACTGTAGATTAACATACAGGACACTGTCTTGCATAGATTGTTTGCATTAGATACCAAGTCGAGTTTATTTATTTTTTAATATTTAAAGGGTCAGCTAGAAGCTACGACCATTCGGACACTAGAGCTCCGACTGAGGCAAAGAATGATTTGCACTTGACCTATGATGGGTTAGATTCAAGTACATACACTTATAGTAATAATAATAATAATAATAATAATAATAATAATAATAATAATAATAATAATAATAATAATTCTAAAAATTAAACAAATATATATTTTCTAGATATACTTATTTAGTAATAATGGGAGTACATTTATTCCACTGCTACGTTTTTTAGTATCGTCTTAATTCATTACCTAAATCCTCATTGCTCTAAATACATCATTGAACGGAAGTATTTTCTCGCTTCCGCCTTCTTGAGTGAGCGCGCTTCCCCGCTGCACCTCTGCGCCGCCGGAGGGCGCCGCAGTAGCCCCCCTCCGGGGCGGCCAGCCAGGCCACGCACGCCGCCCGGAAGCAGTCGGCCGCGTAGCAAGTGGCGCGGAACGCCAGCGTGTAGTCCACGTCGGACTCGCTGAACTTGGCTTCGTTACTGGTCAACCACACGATGATTTCGACGAGAAGCTCCACGCTTCCAGTCATTAAAACCATTTGCACGTACATCCTAATTCTGGAATTAACAAGAAACATAAACGAGACGAGCACGAAAGAAAACAATATATTGTGACGTCATGGATACTCACAGCGACTACAGACAGAGAGCCTTCGTGTAGCAATATATTTATTAACAAAGAAAACAAAACAAATATATACACTTAATATCTTACTTACACCCTAGCTCTGATAGACCTACTATCCTCTGATCGCGGGAGCGATCCAAACCCGATTGAAGATGGTTTTGATTGTGGCATTCGCCACTCCTACTTTTGAAGCGCGCACAAAGCCTAGCTTCCGTGACCGGATGTCACGCTGGGACACAAAGTCCGTCCTGGCGCACCAACGGCTGGTTTGCCTCGATCACAAGAGCGATCTTATCCGATTGAGAATCGGCGTGAATCGTGGCACTCAACCACTCTTGACCGCGGAGCACGCACACAGCATCCCCGTGACCGCAGTCACCCAAGGACCTAAAGTCCGCAGGCTTCGTCAACTAGTGACTCAGCCTCGCGAGCCTGGCTCGCATATGCACCGTCGTGGCGCCAAGTTTTGTGCACACGCACGAGGTTCTCCCGCTGTCTCCAGAACACCCCCACTGGCTCTGTACACTCTGTTATATAGGCGAGGCCCACGTGACCTACTACGTCACGCCACCCCCTCGCTTGTTATAACAGTGAAAAGCTTCTATAAGCCGGAAACTCCCAAAGCCTTGTGTCTCCCGTTTCCGCGTTCTTCCCTTTACGGAAAAACCCTTCTTCCTGTGGCAAGGCTAATCCTCTGCCAAGCGTCCCCAAATAGATGCCACGAGGCACGCTGGCTAATACGTTACAATATTATACTTTGCATCTGAAGAATACCGTACGCTCTAGCGTCTGCAACTGAAGAACGCACTGCGGCACTGATCTGTCGTTTCTCTGCTGACACCTGCTGCTCTTCCGCCTGGCGGTGGAGTTTGTCCCCTTCTCTGTGAAGCACAGAGTTGCCTCGCCGCAAAAACTGAACCTGCTTCAGGGTGCGTGAAATGCACACAAAATTCGCCAAGACCAAGACCCACAAGGGTCCGTAATAGAAAAGTGCACTGCCAGATTTTCGATTTGAAAGTGAATTGTATTTCCCTGTAATGATAAAAGATTACAAATTTGTTTATTGAAAATTTAAAAAAAGTAAATGTAAAAAAAATGAGAAAATTTTTAAAAAAATGCATTACTTTTAAAACAAGACATTCTAATCTTTTGCTTAATTTTCGTGGATTATGACTATACAGCATTTAGAGAAAGTTGTGTACCGTCTAAATGAGCAAGAATTAACTTTTTCGATGTTAGTAACTAAGAATATGTTTATCCATCAAACATCACCATGTTTTGTTAAATCATTATAATATTTTCTCTTTACTAAGTAAGTTTAATATGAGAAAATAAAGAGGTGAAAAAAGTTTCTTGAATTCGAAATTTTGAAATCGAAGTTTCAGCTAAATCTACTAATGTATAGCGCGCAGTTACCATCAAAGTTTCCGGGTCCAATCAATTCATTGAAACACGTTCGTGTTTCAACCAGTGTTGGGTTGAACCACTTTCTTAGGTAATAACTCTTTTCGAATGCATAGATGCATAAGCCAGTCAGAAGAGAGGACGTTCCCCACGCAAAGGTAGAGAGATACAGGAACCTCCGCGCATCCTTGCCTTTCCGCGGCAGCACCATTTGGAGCTTCCTGCCGAACAGAAGCATTTACACTTTAGGTTAGCGAAAAATATTCTCGAAGGTTCTATTCTTTTAGATATGTAATTGTGAGTCTGTAATTTTAGAGGTTATACACTGAGATGTCAAAATCCATGGAACAGCAGTGTGAAACTTCACTGAAAAAGGAATATTTGCCGCATATTGAAATACGGTTCTCCCTACCAGAATTAATATTAAAATTTGGCCCCGCTATTTTTGTGGTTGACGCACCGTAGGTGCCATGTGTGAATCTCCGTGGGATCCTAAACCACAGCTGTTTCTGTTGCTGCCCTTGTCTACATTGTACCCTGAACCACAAAATGTTTGCAATTCATGGTTGATTCTCTCTGAACTTTGGTGGTTCCGCAACCCACATTTTTTCGCCACAGTTACTACACAAATATTTATAACAACAGTGGAATTATTTGCATCAACCCATGTGTTTGCTTGGAAAGTTTTGTCTTGTTATATACCCGTACTTTTTAATTGTAAATTTGAATCCAGAAATTGTTACATTAAAAGATTTAAGTCTTTGCTCTCAGAAGGCATTTCTGAGTAGACATCATGGAGTGTTCTCTCCACTCAGGCACCTTACATCGATGTCTGGTCCTACAGATCGGAAGGCATCTCTGAGATGACATCAGGATATGGCCTGCTGCCTCGGAGGATTGGCGCGCTGCGCTCCATCTGTTCAGCCATTGTTTCGAGGTGGGGGAAGAAGACGCATAGATCTTCAATCTATTGGCATTTTATTTTAAACAGCCTTGGATTCGTTCGTAATTTCTTTAGTAATAGTCTCATTGTTTTCCCCGTTCATAAACGAAAAGTATTGATTTACCCCAATGCAATTACGCATGGTGACGATTTGGAGTTTTTTGAAAACATTCTATCAGCGTAACCACTACTAAGTGGTCAGGAAGGTTCTAATAATAAAGTGCTAAAATGACGAAGCAGTTACCCATTTAAACAAATATACATGAGAAATCTACGCCCGTCATTAAAACCCTTTCGAGATTGGTATGTTTGTATGCGAATATTTAGTGGACGTCGCTGTTAGAATGCATGCCCTTGTCGCTCTTTTGCAACTGAACAATATCGATATTCATTTGAGTCGCACTGACCCCTTAGATACTGGTACATTCAGCATCGTTTTTGGTACATTCTGCATTGAGTTTGTCATTTCTTGCACCGTGGCGTGTCTGTTCGCAGACGCGCCTGCGACGAACAGACGCCACAGTAGAAGACCCGCACATGGTAGCAACTGCTCTGTTCCTGTTGAGAAAAGTCACTTTCAACGCAGTTCTCGCGGGTCTTCTTCACACCGAATAGCGAGAAATTTTCAGAGTTCGAACGACATTGGATACTGAATTTTGCATTCGTCTGTTACAAGCATTTACGTTTAAGCGAATATTTTCGGCCACGTATTGTAACCTCTCGATTATCGCTATAGCGACCGCCACTTCCGCACGCGAAGAGTCACACGCGCTTCGCGCAAATTATTTTTGTATCAAAAGTAAATGAACTCCAGTTACCTCAGGAGTGATTGTATCTAATAGAGGTTCGAAAAAGACCTTCAGGCGAATGACAAGCAAACCACACACAATATTTAACGAAATAAAATGTAAGTCGTTTTATTTGGCTTTTAAACTATCTATCTAATCTATCTATCTAATCTATCTATCTAATCTATCTATCTAATCTATCTATCTATCTAATCTATCTATCTATCTAATCTATCTATCTAATCTATCTATCTAATCTATCTAATCTACCTATCTATCTATCTTTTTTTACGAGGGGAACTGGAAATCTTGAAAAGACGAAGAGGAGCCTGCACTCCTCAACAGTGTGAGATTTTTACCTACTAAAATCACAAACCCTTTGTGTTCCTGGCGTTATTCACCTTGGAACCGAAGTTATGCATTACTTCGGGATGGTGACAGCTGTATTACTTCGAGGTGAAATTCAGGTTCAGTTATGACTGGTTTCTTTTGCCTTCTTCCTTCTTCTTGAGAATGGTGATATATTTCTCTATTGCTGTCCACTTTTCCTTGTTACAGATCATAAGTCTGACCATGTTTTCTGGTGAGACATTATACCCGACCTCCCATATCATGCAATGCCTTAGCGAGTCCCATCTCGGACAATGGAACAGCGTATGTTCGGCATCGTCCACTTCGTGGCTGCAGTAGAAGCATACCGCGTCTTCTGTCTTGCTGAATCGTTTAAGGTGTGCCTTAAAACATCCATGCCCTGTGAATGCCTGAGTTAAATAGTATGTCACGGACCCGTGTTTGCAGTTTATCCATTTGGATATATTCGTGATGAGCCTATGAGTCCATCTGCCGGTCTCCTCCCTGTCCCAGCGTTTCTGCCAGCAGTGCATCACGTTTCTTTAGCTTTTTTAATTGCTCTATCCTTATCTTGTTGCGTTCGCCTTCCGTTGCCTTCTTGCTCATGGGAATAGTCGTAAACTTCTTTCCTTTCTAGAGCAAGCAGGTCAATAAGAGGGACGTTCGCCAGCAGAAGAACAGCACTTCTAGATACAGTTCTATACGCCGATGTTATGTGTAGAGCTCCTCGGGGCAGACTGCATTTTCCTTTTCAGATTATTGTTTTGGAGAAATTCTGCCCAGATCGGTGCTGAATAGAGCATTTTAGAGTGCATCGCATAAGAATTCGTCTCGTCTCGTCGCTGAGGTCTCTGGTGTTCGGCATCAATCTTGAAAGCGATGCTGCTATTTTTAGGGCTTTTCCGTCGTCTCAGGTAACGTGTGCGTCCAAAACTTAGCTGCCTGTCAATTTCCATTCTAGGTAGCGAAAAGGCTCTTGCGACTTTGTATTTTTTCCTTGCCATTAGAAAATGTTGGGTTGGGTAGGATCGTCTCAGTCGATGATAAGCAATGCTTCCGTTTCATGGGCTGCCACTTCCAGCCCTTTGGACGTCAGCCATTTCATCACTCTTCTCAGGGTGTCGTTTACGATGACCTCTATTAGGGCCGTGTTTCCGCCGTTGCCACTTATCGCATCGTCTGCAAAGCCCACTATTGATACATTTTGCGGGAGTTTTATGCCCAGTAGACTGTCGAACATAATATTCCATAAGACAGGACCAAGTTTTGAACCTTGTGGGACACCACAGGTCATATCGATTTCAATAGATTCTCCTTCACCTTTGTAAATTATCTTTCGGTCGCTTAGGTAGCTCCTTATCATACTGGTGAGGTGCTCTGGGGTGTTCTTCTCTATCAGGCCGTCACGCAAGGTCACGCAGCGCTCCCCCTGCTAAAGTTCGCTCTTCGTGATAAACTAAAAAAATATATTTAGTTGCATTTGAAAAAAAAAGTTATCTCAATATCTCGAAAAATACAAATGATAAAATAGAAATGCATACTTAGATCAATTAGCTCCATTCCCTCTTGCACTTCCGTGAAACTACATTATAATAGCATGAGCCGTTCAGAAAATGCAGGAGGGGCTAAAGTTACCTGGCTCAATCTGTATTCTAAACTCCGAGTCCTCTGTTGTCTCCATTGTTGCAGAACGTATTTTTGCTCTCTTCCTACTTACATCAAATCTGAAATTTTAGATTTATTGCTGTCAAAATAAAATCAGTAGTTTCAGAGATTTGATAATAGCAACATTTCTTATAGAATATCGATAAGAGGCTGTGACACATAACAATGCAAGCATGTCACAATAGCTTTTTAAGTCATTTTCTCTATTATCATAATATTTCATGTTCTGCATATAATTATATCTAAAACGTGTTTCCCCTAGCAGGGCAAAAATTATTCAATTGCATTTAGTGATAACGCTTCCCCAAATTATTAATAATTTAAATAATTTAGGTGTATGAATTGACATTTAAAATAATTCATTAACGTATTTTCAATTTCAAGGCAATAATTAATTTTATGAATTGTTGAAAGTCATTGTATCATTGTGCTAACGAATGCAGCAAAAATGTTTAAAACCATGTTAAAAATATATTTTTGCAGACCTTGTATTGGTAGACAAAACAAGTCAATACTTAAACATAATGACAATGTACAGACTGAAATGTATTCATCTCTTTCTCAAGTTCAGAAATGTATACATACATTCGGTATATTTCTGTTGTAAAGCTGTGAACGTTCATGTAATTGCCTATTTTTTGTAGCTGATATATCTCTGAAATTTGAAATATACCTACGCAAAATATTAGTCTGAGATAGAAAAAAAATTAAATATAATGCATTTTTATGTATTCTAGAAATTTGAAGCATTTTGTTAAGTTGATTGCACTCTTTAGAATTTCTTGGAATAAATAACATTTATTTTTGAGTAAAAATTGTCAGTTAAAGCATAAAGTTTCATGGTCCAGGCTGGGATAGAGAATTAATGGCTACAATTTCTAATTTTTAGGAATCTGTTTTTGGTTTTTTTACAATGAGTGAATTATAAAATGAGAAGATGGTTCAGAATACATTCACTGTAATTTCATCTTTAAAGAAATGTATTTTGAATAAACTTGTTAAAATACAAAAGTGTGCCCAACAGATGTCAAAAGTTCCTTTTCAAAATATGAGGCAATATCGTTTGATAGCGCTTCTTCAGAACAAACAATTTGAACAACAATTTAGAACAAGAAACAAGATTTGATTTGGTTGTCACCATTGAAATGATATTTTCTAACATTTTATTCTCTTTGTTTCCCAATTTAATGAGCAAGCTCTCCTATTATTCTATACATCAGAATATTAAAAATCAATTCGAATACATATATTTAAAAAACGGTTTTCATTGTTTTATTCTCGAGGCTGTGAAGTTTTAATTGTGATAGGTGTGCAAATATTATGGACTTTATATTATTTAATTTGAGTTTTTACGGTAGGCGTGTTCAAACTAACTGGGAAAGTGTACACTACGTCTGGGCCTCGTTTCAATTAATAATATTATTTATTAATTTTTTTTATTATCTGTTAGTACAGATCTCTTGGAGACCCACTTTTTAAAACTATTTTCGTGCTACCATCATTTTCCCTCGTAATTCCCCAAATTCATTATTCTCAGTTCTTTTAGAAATGTTGAATTATTAATATAGGTTTTTAATACAATCTTCTTTGACGATTGGTTACTCGTATAAATGAATATCTGGATGAATATGGATGTGCACAGTTATTGTTACTTCAGAAAAAACATATTGAGAATTGCATAGTTGGTATTTGAAATTTGATGCTTGATCTAAGAAAATGTGAAATTTCTTTTCTCTGATGATTTGAGTTTTAATTTTTAGAACAATTTTATTCTTATTTTATACTTTCAGAATATTGTCACTTTCAGAAATTACTAAGGATTAACATTTTTTATGTTGACAAACTTAGTCTTGTATCTAATTGGTATCTCATGTAACTATGCACACTTCATGCTGTGAGGTGACAATTTTGTTTCTACAAATATTACAGAAAATTCGAAACAATCAATTTTGAAGTCTGCTGGCTTTGGTTTTTTCACCGATTTTTAAGACAAAAATCAAAAATAAAAACAAATAGGTCGTATCAACTACTAAGTCATTAGCAACCACTATTGATTGAAACGGTAGGGTAACTGTGAGGATGACAAGATGATGATGATGATGATAGAGGGTGAAAAGATGAACACAATACAACCATGCCCGAGGCGGGACGAGATCCCGCGTTCCTTCGGTCCGAGATCGCTACGGCACTACTGCCTTAGCGATTTCGGTCATTATAATTCGGCCATATTTAATTGTTCATTATAAAAAATGTATAAATAGATAATCAAGTACAATTCCCTCAAGTACAATATGGAGTTTGTAAATATATCCATCAAGTGTTTTTTCTCCAATCGATTTACGAAATTTATGTATTTCAAATGCTAGCACATTTGCTCATTTTCCTGTATGTGATTTTCATGCCTTAAAAATTATCAGGTTAACGTGATTGAGTTGTATTGTATTAAATTATTCAGACCCTTGTTTCACTGCAGTCATTTGCAACCTGCAGCACACAGCTAACAATAAGTAAAGGTTAAAACTCAGATATTAGTTTCAGAAAATGTAAAAAATGAAACTTTCATATATTTCGGGGAAACTCAATACCACCTTTCAAAAGAAGCTATTATAGTTTAAATAAGCCTAGTGGTGCTACAGAATAGCTCGTACGTTTTCGAGCTAGTTCGTTTCGTAATTTATGTGGACTGGGCTAGTATTTAATTTTGCCTCATTCTGTTCCAAACTCTCATCTATCGTTGCCCTACTAAATTGTTTCAAATTTTCTCAATTTTGCGGTCTCAAAATCTTACAACTGAAAGAAGATTTTAATAATATTATGAAATAGTAAAACCTCGTCATATATCTCAATTTTCGTTTGAAAATTTGGAGCTATTTTAAGAAAATTCAATTCCCTGAACATAAAATATGTTCACGTTAATATGAGACCCTACAGATTTGTTAAGTGCACTTGCACCTACCTGCTGTATGTTAAATAATTTAGCATCCTTGTCAATGGATTTTAATATCCTTAAGCAACGTAATCACCTAATCATTCATCGCAACTCTGATTTTTGTGAAAATAAAATATGGCGATGTACAAAACAAATCAGAATCAAACAATTCAGAATAAAAGTAATTGTAATTTTATTAATAGTACAATTAGAAAAAATATATTAGGTAAATTAACCTCACTTTTCTTGTATTCCACCAAATGAAACACTTCCGGGAATAATATTTATTTACGATGTGAAGGGGACTAGCCTCTGGAAGTCAACGCGCCAACTTCCTCACCGAACGTCGTTTCTTTAGGTTCCAGAGAATTATTTGCATCCATCTTTCTCGAAACAGAGTAAATGAATATTGCTTGTATACCATATCACAAGCAACATCCCACAATATGGTACTAACATGCCGCAGCAACAGAATTCATGTTTTCACTATCGCAGTTATGTAAATTTTCGCATAATTCGTGAGATTTTATGGTGACCGATAAAATGGTAAACATACCACAAAATGTTACAGTGTTATTTCTGTCTGGTCCAAACTAAAAATCTCGGCTCCACAACACTTCATCTCCATTTTTAACATTTGCCCTCTGAAGCAATAACACTGAAAACATACTAGGTATATTACTAGCTACAAACGGACAGCCGATGTTAAAAAATGAACCGTTAACCGTGATTTCTTTCTCTACTGATGATGTACCGTTGAATACAGTATAACGAAAAAGAATTGACCCTTTATTTTTGTATATTAATTAAGTTGTGCTCGAAATGTCAACTCTGCCAACATTTTTATCAACTACGAATAAACAGTTAATTTTTTAAAGTACATTCATTTTCGACAGCCAAAACAGCGGGTCTTTCAAGGCATGCAGAGTGTGTTCTGTTCAAATTTCAGTTCTAGTGCTATCTAAAATATAGTGCATCATTCACATGGAGAAATATTTTATTTAGCTGGTATGATTGCACCTACCGATTTTTGTCGCAACATTTCTGGGTAAGAAAATAAAATAACAACTTTATTATTCATATAATAAATATTTGAGACTAGAAATAAGTTGTATTGCTTACCTGAAGCCGAGTGCCATGTTGGCGCATAGAGCTGTAAGCCAGCAGTTGGCGCCCGTCAACAGAAAATACATCGTGAACCCTGCGTAAGAGATAAGTGCATGTCATTATAACATGTGTCGGAATATCAACACCAGTCATAATGGATAGTGATGTTTTAAATAACTGATTGTTGGTCGGTCACGTCAGTTGCTTTTTTCATTGGTCCCGTTCGTGTGGTGCATGTTATACCACGAGAAGTGGCGGCGTTTTTCCCCGGCTTGAATGTGAGATCCGTCCTCCCAGATATACTACAGAACACAGGATTTTTCAGAATACGAGTACTGTTGTAACACATAAAACATGTTTTGAACAGGAGATTGCGATTTAATTTCCCTGCATCTTCGTTTTCTTCTCCTTAATCGACGATAATCTAATTTCTGAAACTAGAGATGCAACAACAACACATACGTTTCAAAAAAACTTGAAAATAGTTATGTAATATTGAAACAATGTATATTTCTGCCATACTAAAAATCCAGTTATACCTTGAAAAAGTCAAATTCAACGAAGGTCATCTTGTTCATATCTGCATTTATTTCGATTATCAAGAACACGGTCATTTCTTACTTTTACAATTAAAAACAAAACAAGAAAAAAACATCATTATTAACTTTTACTGTTAAAATATTTGTAGCACATAATATACAAAAGGAAGATTAATTTTACCCAAGCCAGCCTTCATTACATTGAAATGACTTTCAATTTTTTAATAAAAAATCACGATGAAACCTATTTAAGGCATAGAAGTGTGTTTGTTAGTTATAAGTTATATTTATTACCTTCCTTCAATCTATTTGTTTCATAATGATAATCATACAATCATGCCCGACTACAACGAAACAAATTCGAAGCATTTCCAGACCGCTATGTTGCTACTGTGCGAACTGGCAAAGCCTGAACCGAATCGCACGAAATTAAAATTTACAATTCCGAATTTTGTTTTCCATTTTCAAAAATACAGAGAGTGCGCCGAAAATGAGACAATCACTATTATCTCTGAAATTTTTTGCATCATACGAGGAAAAAATTAAAGGCCCAATTTGAGGCAGATTCTGAAGAAAAATTGTTAAAAAAGTTTTTTAAAGTGCATATGTTTCATGCAAAATTATGCAAACAATTTTCACATTTTCAAATAACTTAATATGAACTCATTTGAAGAACTGATTTTGATGAAGGAACTAATTTCATTAAGAACATTTTATCCTAAGCTTTGTAGTTGTAAAAAGTTGTATGAAGTTTTGCAATTGTAGAAAAGTCAAAGGAAATCAGATTTGCACCATTCTCTTAAGTGTCCATTTCATTAACCAAAAACAAAATTTAATAAAAAATAGGTTCTATATTTTTTTTATATTTACAAATATGAAAAGGAAGGGATTTCATGTAAAATACCCTTTAAATTAAAATATCGGTTTCAAATTCAAGGGGACGTGACATCAGCTAGAACGATTGGGAAATATCGATTTTGAAGAAAATTGGCTGAACTAGCGTCGTGCCCAGACGCATAGACAAAGAATTTTGCCGTCAATCAATTTTTCGGTATCAAGGAGGCACAAAACATGGATTATGACAACACCACGAGCTAAGGATATTTTTCTGTACTTAGCAACTGGATTTACCAATTTTTTCCTTACCAGAGCCTGGCAGTAAGAGTTTTGTGTCGAAAATTTTCCGGCGCGCGATTTCATTACTTTCTCTTCTTACGTTGGTGAGTACTAGAGTTTTCAACGGAAATGAGACCTGCAGCATTCGCATAAGTGTCCTTCGTACTATCGATCAATGAAATTTAAAGAAAAACGTTGGATCTATTTTTTGCTTTGAAATGTCCAGGGGATTCATGTAAAGGAAAAGGAATTGCTAAAATTTCAAATGATTAAACATTCAATCATTTTTATAATTTAATTAAAAATGTATCCCATAACTAATATAAAAAAGTATTAAATAATTATTACTGAAGGTTGCGTTCGCACCACTAGTTTTCTTTCAATTTCCTTGTTGTATGTGTTCAAGGACGGTGTGTGGTGTGAGGGGCCATTTTCGGCGAATACTCCGAATTTCGACAGTCGCAAAACTTTAACATTTAAAAACTACAAAGTTGAAGGTGAAAAATATTGCCGTTTTGCCATGTATCTTGTAGAAATTTAATTGTCTAAAAACGTAATGTAAAATCTTTTGAAAAATGAGTATTTCAGCATAATTGGCGCTTGAATTTAATTCAATTAAATAAACGGGTTCTGTAACACATACACCTTTTTTTCAATTTATGTTCACGAATAGGAGAAAAGACGCTAAGGGAATAGCTCGCACTCCGAACAGACTTTGTGTTCTAAATAATGTTCAGTGGTCATAATTTAGTGCTTTAGTTGTTGAATGAACAACAGTGATTTATCCTGCACAGGACGAATGGTCAGTGAATCCCTATATTCATTATATAATTTGGAAGAGTCGTCCGATGTGGTCCCCGACGCAGCTAACGTGAACTTCACGTACAGCATGGAATGCACCGAAATACTGCCTCAACTTTAACACATTGCAAGTAACAACATCCAATTCGGGGCCGGAGCATCAGGCCAGCCCGAGGAACAAATGCATTCACAGTAGTCTGATGCTTCAACCCAACCGCATCAGAACAATGTAATGTTCTAAGGAAAGCGAGCCAGTGATAACGACAAAAAACAGAGACCTAAAACTTGTAACCACAAACAGTCAGCCTCCGGCAGGGTCGAACGTACAAAGTCAATACAATGTGGAAGTCAACAACAGATTTAGTTGGCTAAGCGAAGAGATCCCAGATGACATAAACGATTAAAATGAAATACCACCAATTTTTGTAACTAATTTTGAAAATAAAGTTACCCTCGCGAATGAAATAAAATCTAACATCTCATCCAACTTCACTACAGAATTTAAAAATCAAAAGATTCGATTCCAATTACAGTTAGTGACCGACTCCCAAAAATATTTAGTTACCACCAAAAACAATTTCACACGTTTTCGGATGAAATTAGGAAAAAAATACTCAATAGTGATAAAAATATTCATCCTTCAATCTCAGAAAATGAAATATTAGCCGAAATCAATAGCAAATTCAATTCTGTTACAAAAGTTACTCAAATATGTAAAAACAATTCCCTCATCCCAGTGGTGGCAGTAGACTTTGCTGGAACCCACAAAATCGAGAATTTGTTAGAAACAAAACAAATAGGAAATAACATTGTGAAACCCTAAAGATGAAAGTAAACCAAGAGCCTCTTTGAATGATACCGGTGTTTAGACTTTGGACACAGTAAAAGTAATAGCAATCATAAACGTTCGTGCGTGTTTCAATACAACACTCTTTCCAATACTACCTCCAACTAACAATATACCTAATTTCTCGCATGCAACAAATATCAACCACCAACAAAACACACAAAAGTCATCAACAAAATAACAACCAACAGACAAACAGAAACTACAACAATTTCAATATTGGCAACTCATTCATATAAAACATCATTCAGTTTATAACCAATCACAACATTAATTTTATAAATTCTTTAATACTAACAATTACACAGAAAATTCAACACTCAATTGCCATGTCATTTAGTAACAATTATGGATCACCATAATGATATAATTATACTAAATTGGAATGCCAATGGTATTATCAAAAAATCCGAATTACAACACTTCTTACACTCTAACAGAATTGATATAACATGTATCACGGAAACACATCTCAACCAAGAATTCTCATTTTATATCCAATGATACAAAACCATTAAAGCAGACGGACAAAATACAAAAGGACGAGGAGGGTTAATACTAATAAAGTGCAGTATACCACATCACCAGATTGCTTTACCACACACGCCCGTATTCGAAAAAGCAACAATAAATGTAAATTATAATAATAACAGGACAATAACAATAGTGACTGTATATAAACCCCCAAATATAAAAATCGAAAATAACAACATCTCCACATTATTACAACTTTCAAATCCATTCATTATTGAAGGTAACCGAAACTCTAAACACTTCTCATGGGGATGTTGGGCTACGAATCCTGCTGGTAAATACTTATACAACATAAAAAGGGACCTGAATATCAAAATATTATCACCAACCGAACACTTACTTTCCATATGATCCAAAAGAAGTCCAGACATAGTTGAATAGCATTCACAAATATTAAAACCCAATTCATTTCTACAACGTACCATGAACTAGAACCAGACCATCAAACAGTAATAATAGCTACTCGCGTAGAAAAGCCTCCCTCAAACTCCCCCACCCACCTTGAATACTTATAACATTAATTGGAAGTACTTTAAAGTTTCTATAAATAAATACATACATTCATTTCACAACCTGAACTCTTCCCAAGAAATTAATCAAGCCATCATGACCCTCAGCAAAATAATAATTAATAATATTGCAAAAATCTTAAATATTAACAAAATACTACACAAACTGCTCCCAACTAATATAACTTACTTAATCCGAATAGAAAATAAAAAAGAAGACTTTGGGAATTCCTTCTTTAAAAAAAGAACTAAATTTGTTAAATAATATTTGTAAAAAGGTTCTCAACAGATATAAACGAGGACAATACAATTCCTTATTAATACCTTAAATTCTAAAAACAACTCTCTACGGCAGTTTACTAAGAAATTAAAAAAAAGAACAAGTAATCCCCCATTAGCAACTAGTAATGGTAAAAAATACTCCCCAATGGAAAAAGCTGAAGTACTGGCCTCACACTTTGTTGACACTTTTCACCCCAATACCTTCCCCCAAAATACCAAACATGACGAAATTATGACAATGTTTAATGCTCCCCTATATGATGTTCACCACCAAATGCAATTCATATCCCCTAATGAAATAAGAAAAATAATAATGTATAATAATAATTTATAAATGTATATAGTAATATATAAAAAATAATGAAATATGCCAAATATAAAAGCACCAGGCTATGATCGGTTCAACACAATCATTTTAAAAAATCTACCGGAAAATGCCATTGCTTTTCTAAATAATATTTACCATTCTGTATAGAGAACAGGATATTTTACTCAAAAAATGGAAACATTCAATCATTCAGCCAATAGCAAAAACAAACAAGAATCACTCAAAAGCATAAAATTATAAACCTATCAGTCTGGTACCTATAATGTCAAAACCTTAGAGAAATTAATACTCATTAGATTGAACAAACATATCATGAAAACAAACAGTATTCCACAGCACCAGTTTGGCTTCAAGTCACAATATTCTACCACCCACCAACTAGTAAGGCTAACAGAACACATTCACACTGCATTTCAAAAGGGACAACTCACCATCGCTGCATTCGTAGATATCACGCAACATTTGACAGACTATGGCATCTAGCTCTCTATTTTAAATTAATCTCAATCACCCAAATATCTAGTATTTATTATCCTTAGCTATATAACAAATAGAACATTTTCAGTATCAGTCGAAGGCCATTGCTCCAATCCAAGGAAAATTTCTGCTGGGGTTCCCCAAGGTTCACCACTTTCCCCCACGTTGTTCAATTTATACACGGCAGATATTACTACTTAAGCGCAAATAAACATCGCTCTATTTGCCGATGACATTGCACTGTATATCTCAGGGAACTCTCTAACAACCCTTCAAACACAGCTTCAGCTTCATTTAAATTTACTTGCAAATTGGGATAAAGTCTGGAAAATAAAGTTGAACCCAACAACATCTGTAGCAAACATATTCGCCTTAAAACCATTCACATGCCCTCTTCCACCATTCACAAATAACGGCATCATCGATTGGATGCCAACCAATAAAACAATAAAATACTTGAGCTTAAATTTCGGTACTCGACTCAACTGGAAGTAACATATAGAGGTAAAAACTCAGCAAGTCAAAACTAAACAAATTCAACTACGACTATTACTGAATAAACATAGTCAAATCTCTAAATCCAAAGGTCTATTACTCTACAAAACAAAAGTCCGGCTGACACTACTTTATGCTTGTCCCATCTGGACCAATGCTGCCTATACCGACCTAAACAAAATGCAAGTCATCCAAAATAAATTCTTAAGATTATTTACAAAAGAACCATGGCTCATCAGTAACAATGAAATATAAATACAAGGGGCCGTAGCATCATTAAGACCGATCGTGAAATATCAACTTTTGAGAATATCGTGCTGATGGTACAGCCTCTAGCGTTGTTCGCAGATAGACGGGAAGACGGAGCATTAGAATACTTTCTCTGCACTACGTATGGAATATGCCAGAACGTGAAATAACACGTCCTGAATTTCCCTAGATTCATGTCGTCTCTCCAGAACTTATGTTTTTTGCAAGTTTTTTCTCAATTCAATTGAATTGAAATTCCTTATTTTGCCGGGCATCAGGCCACGTGGTCGTCTGACCACGCCAATTTTGGCACGCTCCTTTCACCATATTAGCGGAGAAAGGAGGAGTCATGGGTGACGACAGGCAATTTGCATTTAGCTCAGAGGCTTCATTTAGACTTGAGGATCTTTTACCTGCAGTAAATCTACTAACATAGGACAGCCGGTTTTACTTCCCCTTCGAAGGAGGGCTTACGAAGCCTTTGTTCGCTCTTAAAAATCCACGGCTTTCGTCGTGTTTGGACCCGCAAACTTGGGTATAACAGTGGGATACGCTAACCGTTACACTATTGCCACCTCCAATACTCACCAAATTGTTGGCACGCATTCATGAGGTGAGTAGGTGGATATGCGAAGTGGTCAATTTCATCACTTATCGTCATGTAGTATGCCACCTGCCCGAGGTTGAATCCCAAGAGACAGATGGCGTGGCATCCCAAACACCAGCAGTGGGCCTTGCGTCGCATGCCAATGTCGCATGCGACAGAGAGAAGGGCAACTACGACCAGCGACGCGGAGACGAAGTACAGGGGCCGCAGCAACCAGTATACGCCCCTCGTGATTCTCGATTCCTCAGAGTAATAGCGGGTGTGGCCTTCAGTGCTGTCCTCTCGCCGCTCGAAGTCCACGCACGTCGACCACGAGGAAAAGTGAAATTGGTGGTCGCGGCGCTGGAGCAAGTGGGCTAACTGCGGGTCCCCAGGAGCCAGGCGTAGTGGTCGGGGCGGGCCGTGTCTTCTTTCAAGGCAGGTTCGAGGAAGTCTGTGGAAGCATAATATGTGAGAGCGAAGTGATATGACTGGTAAGATAGAAGTCAGTAAGTGAAAACATGTACTGTTTATGCGTAAATCACTAGGAATGTTTGTTTAGGAAGAAATTTGAGCTCATATTATAAACCCTTTTTACAGTATTCACAATATTTTTTTTACCTTAAAAGTAATAGAATCATAGCTTACCAGCGGTGATTTGTTCAATGCGTCGTTTGATTGTGCGAGTTACAGGAGTGAACGTTTCTTATTTTAGCCGGAGCAAACATGTGTGAGTGTAAGGTTATCGAAGCAAAGATAACGAGATTATTATGTTAGAAGACAGAGTGTTTTTAAATTGAAAGAATAATGAGTGTGCGTAAACACATTGTCTAACAATCTTTAAAAAAACACGTGTTCCTTTAAAACATTTTATAATTGTTTGTAATACGTTGTTAAATATAAATATATATAATAATTTACTGCTGTATTCCACTACAACAATAAATTCTAGATTTTGGTAAATGTATTACGTTTCTATCACATTTCCAGAAATAGGTTTCACTGAGTTCATAATGAAGAGCATTGTATTGTGCCAGGATTGATAAATCTCCGTTTTTTAATTTGTTTGGGAAAAAAGTTCAAAACGACTTGAAAAAACATTTTTTTGGTGGGAAGGGCGATTTCCCGATTAATGGTTAGGGGGTACTTTTCAGTTGTGCCTTGCCTACCGTACTGGTTTGGCTTTGTTTTGTACAATGCAATTTCGAAGGTATAGATAGTTCAATGCAATAACGTAATTGTCAAGTTTTAAAAAATATATTGATTAGCTCGAATTTATGTACAACTTTTCTTGAATTTGTATTGCAGTGTTTTCCTTTATACTTTCTCGCTACTGTTTACGCCGGATATATACATTTTTGTTATACTGCGGGGGGAAAAGACAATTTCTTCACTGAAGTATTCTTATTTGCCGGGATCTAATTACTAAAATACGGATAAATATTGTCGCTGTGTGGAGTAAATTACGTCCTCTCACACGTTGTGTAGTCAGCAAAACTTTTTCGGGTCCTTGACACCAAAACCGTTTGACAGGAAAACGTGTCTGAATGCCTGTCTGTGAACAATGCTAGCGACTAATCTGTTCGGGGGATTTTCACCCAAATTGATATTCCCCAAACGATTTGAATTTGAAACACCCAATTTAATTTTGAACGTCCTTTACATGAAGACCCTGGGATATTTTCTAAAGTTCTAAATATTCAAATTAGCACTTAAAATGATTCATGTGATTTTTTCAATTGTCAAAGTAGAAATGACTACTGTTTCTCACAATAGAAATACATGCACATGCACAGGCACGAGAGGCGCTTTGTTTGAATTTTTTGAATCGGACTTTGAAAAGGACCACGCTGAACCATATGACAGTTAGTTCTTTCTTTAAGGAAGGAGATTCTGTTTGATTGTTTAGGAATTTCAACATTCGGGTCTTTCTAAAATCTTAGAGATAGTTTCGTCTTTCAACGATAATTGGATGCATATTAAAATTCAAAAATGGCACCATGCCCAATCACTTCCAGTACATCATTGGGTACTCTTACAGCCCATAAACACGTTGCAATCTTAGTCGATGTTGGTAGCATTTGGGCAATCAGAGGAACACCCTGAACGTTGAGCTCGTTCTTCATTCGGATATTCAGGAAATATTCATACGTAGCAACTTGCCATCTCACGGAAAATGGTACAGAATATGTTCAATATACATATATATATATATATATATATATATATATATATATATATATATTTCTGTTTTCATTAAATTATTTAAGTGAAAAAGTTGAATTTGTCCCTAGTCCTCAATATTGTTCTAAAATGAAGATAATAGGTGTTGAGTTCATCACTGCTATGACGCTGAAGGGTTATCACACTTGACTGACGAAAAATGGGGCGGCAGGTTGGTGAGTGCAGTCACTGCACGCAACATTCAGCAAGTCGATGTCATCATTTAAGGGGACCCCTGGGTGACTGCAAACGAATTGAACATAATGCGACACAAGTAATCTGTCGTCATTCAACGGTCACCACGAATGATGTAATCGACTTGCTCAATGTTACGTGAAGTGACTGCCCCTCCGCATTTCGTCATCCAATGGTGTTTGCCCTTCAGCTTTGTTACAGCGAAGGACCCATCGTCTAATAGTGCTGACATCTACTGTTGCACTACACCCCTTTTAGTCTTTCATAGAGATTGTGAATACTGTACCCGTATTGGAAGCGCGTCTCCGGTAGAACGACGCTTGAGAAGGAAACGTTCGCGGGCGTCCAGTAGCCTTTCGCGTCCTCCTGACACTTCCAGCCGCCGCCCTGCAAGGCGAAGACCTGCCCTTGGTCACAGCACTTAACGATGCAGTCGTCGAACCCGCAGTTGGCCCTCATGAGCACTACGAAGGGCGCGAGAGGCTGTTGGGCCGCGTCCACACACGCGTTGCGCGTCCACTCGTAGGCCACACGGCTGAAAATTAGAAGTCTTGTGTCGCTACGGAACGGTCTGAGAAAACCAAATTATAATAATATTTATTTGGCTACAATTGGCTGATTGCCAGGTGGTAGCCACAACCCTACAGTTTTACAATATATGAACATTTATAATACAAAAACAATTTACCATATAAAAACAATTTACACTACACTTCTTTCGAGCATATACACTCAATATATAAGCATACACAGACCTGTATACATCTATGGCACATATATACACCCATACACATACACATATATACATACACATGCATACATACATACATATACACACATTCTAAACATGAATGCTCACTTTCACGTTCACACATAACACGAACACACACACACACACACACACACACACACACACTTGACCTACATATTATACATGCCTACATTTAAATAAAGAACATATATTTAGTTACACCTAGTAAAACATGCACATATATACATATACATAAAATTAACCAGTTACACAATTTGTTTTTTAAATGATAAACACAATGTTATGGATTTTTACAAGTTAGCTCTTTAAGATATTTAGATTTGCTCCCCACCTACTGTTACGCACTTCACTTCACTTCACTTCACCTACAGGTTACACTACAGTAACTCCACTACACTACACTTTCACTACATCTTTTTTGGTATATGCCATATAACTATAAAGTAGCTTCCACTGCACGTGAAAACTACACTACATTTACCTAAATAATCTACAATGGTGTGTATTCTGAGCTGTGCGGTTAAATTTCAGCCTACAAGTACTTATTAAGTCGTCTTCTAAATAACACCAAACCAGAACAGGAAAGGCTCTACGACCCTGCAGGGATTTCTTCCAATTTTTAACCGCTACGATTTACAAATGAATAATTTCCCTCGTCGATCTCTGACATGCTACTTTTTATTTTGCATTTGTGATCGTTTCTCCCAACTTCTTGAGGGGGAGTCTAGTCTTGGTCGTTATTTCGTGCCCATGCAGGTGACTTACTGTTTACGCTTGAAGAGCAGCACAATCTGGCTTTTTTTTCTTTCGCACACGAGGGCCTCGTAAAGATTGTGGTGTGGATTTGAACTACTCGAAGATCCACTTATTTATGAATTTGATTGGCTTTCTTTTGAATTTGTTTCTAACTCTTCAATCTGGACCTAATCTGCTATGGGATCCCATCAGCTGATGCGTATTCAAGAATCGGCTCTAAACTAAAGTGGTGTATCCTATTTCTCGACTTCCATCGTTTCCCTTTTTAAATTTGCTCATTAAAAGTGTAAGTGACTTCCCCCACGCTTTCGGGCATCAATAGAAGTAACGTGTCCCCCACCATCCCAAGTACTTTGGCCGTATATTGACACCCAGATACTACAACACGATACTTGTGGAATGAATACCTTCCCATTTGGATTATTCTAAAGAAAACCTTCTTTGGCAGATTTCGAAAGCTCAGTGTTTACTATTTTACCAGCATTTTATCTTCATTTTATTAATGGATACCCAGGAATGAATGTTATTTAAGATCGGTTAAGTGTGAGAATATCTCATCCGAATCTATCCGCCGATAATTGTGCAGTCGTCCGCAAAATAAGCGCATTACTGACTTAATACAAGATGGCAGATCGTTGATGAATGCCAGAAACAACAGCAGTCCTAAGACACTTCCCTGGGGGACGCCATTCATAAAAGACAACTCGGCTGCTGCGCCAGTACGAAGCCCCTTCCTTCTCCGCCTGGCGCTCGTCCCAAATCACCGCATTCTCCACCTTTCTAACCAAGGGCTTCTCGGCGACGTACCGGAGGGCATCCAGAAGCACGACGTGCACTCGATTGAGCGCAATGCCGCGAGGCAGCCAGCGGCTCAGCCATCGCTTGTTGAATGGACGCCCCAAAAATGTCTTATTTAACAGGGGCTGGGCTTCGTGCGGCGGCCAGGTTGCGTCCACGCACTTGGGTCCGTCGGACGACAGCATCTGATCCGCACGGCAGCATTTCATGACCGACAACTTAGGTTCCTTTTTTTTCTTATTGTTCTTCCTTCTCCTTCTTTTCCTCCTCCTTCTTCAGCAAGAATAGCCACTAGCACCACCGGCAACAGCATCACACAGTTCACACGCATTGTGGCGCACAGGACAGGGCTTCTTCTGATTCTCCGATCACGCGATCTCGGGGTTTACTGGTACGCTGTTTGCTCAGAGTGATTTGAAATTGAGCCCCACCTCGCTCGGCGGATTTGAGTTTCTGCCTCCGAGTAATTTTGCACAGGCTGAGCGGGGGTGAGTGAAGAGATGCTGCAAACGCTCAGCTCATTACAGTTGCGCAAGTTATCCCACTCTGTGCGTCGCTTATGTTCGCAAGGTGAACCATTTCTTTCGAAGGAAGTCCGTATGCACAACTGTAAATTTCCTAGATGATTTTTAGTCTTCTGAAGTGACTCAATGTTTTCAAATGTCAGAAATCATTGCATTCAAGAAACATTGCATTTCTCCCACTATCGAATGCTTCCAACGGAGAGCGCAGATACGTATCTTTAACTCATACAACGTAATGTTTGTAGTCTCAATTCTAACATCGAAGACTGTGAATGTTGTAAATTATACGTCCGTGTGTTTTGCTGAGATAAGCTTATTTTTTTGCGTTTTACCACGCAGTTACCACAACGTCCGTTTGTCGCTGGTGGTGACTAGAAATTGCAACACACGGATACGCAAAACGTTACTCATTCGAAAATATTTTTAAACCTCGATAGATAGAAAAATGTGTCTGCTCGAGAAAGAAACTCTCGGTGACTCGCTGATGGCAGCGGTAAAGAGGGGTTTAAATTCTGTAAACAATAAATCTAGTGATTCTACAACAACATATCCCATTATTTCTAACAGATCCGATATTTTCTACTACACAAACCAAAAAATGTATTTTCAATCAGCAACATGTTTTTCCGTACGCCTTATCTGTACGCTAAAGAAACGGTGTGAATTCCGAACTCGGACCGACCCTGAAAAATGTCATTGTCTCAAGCAAATATTTCAAAGCAATTTTTGGACATTAGAAAAACGCATATGAGTTCTACTTAATATTTTTAAAGTCCCTTGTTAATTAATGGGAAAATATTAAATACAAAATAACTGTGTTTGAGAAAGTGCTGTTTTTATAATTTGTATTAAATTCAACTAAAGTTTGTTTTTCAAAAAATAAATTTATTTCACTTTGAAGCGCTGATATTTTACAACATAATTTGTACGACGCAAAAATCTCAATTTTCTATTTTGTAGTTTTGAAATATTAACTTTTTGCAATTGTAATTGCTTGCAATTGCGTTTTGCAATTACATAGAGTTAGCCGAAAATGGGACTAGCGCCATATTTTTTACATTCTCACTACCGATTACGCAGTAGAGAGAACTAACGTTGCGCGAATATTTTTGGCAGAAAAACTCATAACAGGATCCTGGCAATGAAAAAGTGGATAAATTCAGTTGCTAAATTAAGAAAAAAATTCCCTTACACGTGGTGTTGCCAGAATCCAAGATTTATGGGTATTTGATACTAAAGCGATCATCTGATGTTCTTCACAATTGATATTCCCCAACTGATCTGTATTATATCGCAGCCCCTTGAATTTGAAACTGATATTTAAATTTTGAGGGGTCCTTTACGGGAAACTCCAGGGGCATTTTCAAAATTAAAAATATTGGTCCATCATTTGTAGAACATGAACGATATTTGTGGAACATTTGAGGAATGTTTACTGATTTTTACCGTCAATTTTCTAAACTCAAATGTTTATATTTAAGAATGTTTCTGACTGTTTTCTTCACAATATTTATAAAAGTAATTAGGGTATTGAATTTAATTGCAATTAGGTGTGAATTCATTAAGTGTGTAAGAGACACCCCCACGGACGCGTAAAAGAAACGTGCACTGCCAGACTTTCGATTTCAAATCGAATTGTTATAACCTATAAAGATAAAATTATTACAAAATTGTTTAATTTAGAGAAGGGTGTTATATTTAATTACAAAATTTTAAAAAGAACATCGAAAGGTTTATTTACTTTTTAAGTAGTACATTCTAATCTTTTTAATTTTCGTGATTTATGACTACACAGCGTGTGAAAGGAAATTATTTACTACCATTGTGAACAAAAATTATCCACATTTTCAATATAAGAAGCTGACAAAATGGGTTGTGTTGTCTTGCCACTTTTCGTTAAAGCATTATAATACTCGCTCTTTACTATCTAAGTGATATGTGAGAAAGTAAAAGGAGATGGAAAATACTGATTAGATTTGAAAAGTTGCATTTACATTTGCTAATATAAATTGCACAGTTACCATCAAAGTTTCCGGTCCAATCAATTCGTTGAAACACGTTCGTGTTTCAACCGGTGTTGGGTTGAACCACTTTCTTAGGTAAGTACTCTTTTCGAATGCATAGACGCATAAGTCAGTCAGAAGAGTGGGCGTTCCCCACGCAAAGGTAGAGAGATACAGGAACCTCCGCGCGTCCTTGCCTTTCCGCGGCAGCACCATTTGGAGCTTCCTGCCGAACAGAAGCATTTAGACTTTAGGTTAGCGAAAAATATTCTCGAAGGTTCTATTCTTTTAGAAATGTAAATGTGAGTCTAATTTTAGAGGTTATACCCTGAGGTATCAATAGTCAGTGCGAAACTATTTCCCCTTGCGATAGCATTGTAGATTGTGCAATGTTGTAAAAATAAAGTCAGTTGCGTTAAGTAGTTTCTGACAGTACATGTGCAGTATGAACTCAAAGTTTGGGGTATCGTATTTTAATGTTTTAGAGAAACAGCTTAAGCCGTAAAGCAAATAACACGCTAATATTTTTGCACGCCTCGTGCTGCATGGGAAGATCGAAAATTTGTCAGTGCGAGTGGTTTTGCTGCTATAACACCACATGAAGACAATCATTCCTGAGGAGAGTTCTACAACCAAATTAATTCATTGACACTATCAGTCAGTACATAGCAGTACAAAACATGATGGTGTTGGCGAGGTGGGACGTCATGGGCGGGGAGAATCATGAACTAGATGGAAGGGACAAAGCGGAGCGGGGGAGAGAGGGATAAGCATGGCGTGAATTGAAATTCAATTACTTCAAATAAATAGCTCAATCTGTTTCTTCTTATTACAGTTGACATAAAAAAATATATTCAGGAACGTCTCTGCCCCCACATGTCACGAATGTCACTCAAAAGAAACCCCGTTTATAAACAAATATACTATAATCTCCAATAAGCACATACTTTCTCCCTATACAAAATAAATATTCAAAACACTCCCAAAACAAAATATCAAAGAAATACGTATGTACTAATACATCCCTTTGTACACTTTATTTACCATGTTACTTGAAAACTAGATTGCACTCATTGCAAATCATTTCAAGAAAAAGGAAAAATTCAAATTCTGTACGTTTAGAATATTCTTTAATGTACTTTCTGTCCTTTTAATTCCTTAAACCTTAAAAAAACAAATTTATGATGTTGTTAGAATTGTCTATTTGATGTATTGTTTTTTTTGAAAACCATCATCTTTGTTTTACACCACACCTTTAATTTATTTTATATATTTTTCCAGAGTGGGTTAATTGCACTATTACGACATAATCTACTCTTACAACATAATTACTCTTATGACATAATGTTCATTTAAGGGTAGATTTTTTGTTTTTCCAAAAAGTACACAAATGCAATAGTTTTGAAATATATTTATCACTCAGTTAATATGCACATTTTCAGCGACCTGTAAACAGTACTGCATTTGTGAATAGAACTGCTTCAAATGATTTTAAATGAAGTTTTTTGAAAACTGAGAAAATGTCTGTAAAAAAGAGCTTAAATTTCGCGTTTACAGCAACACCTAACGCCATTTTTTTAGCAACGGCTCCAACGTTTTGAAAGAAAATTTGCGTATAGGACAAGGTCTTATTTTTCTTAAATATTCTTCAAGTAATATTTCGGTTACACTCTTCGAAAACCGAAAGAGTTTTTAAAATTAAAAAAATGTAGTAATAGCTGTGATAGGTGGCTGCTGACAAAAGTATGTGGCAAGAGACTAGCTAGCTCAGACGAAAGAAAAAAACTAATACGGGAAAGTCTGTGCAATTCTGCAGCACCACTAGTTATAAGAATATTATTTTTAGACAGACAAAAGAGTTTTTCTTTCAAAGCAAGCACAGTGTTTTAAATGTTCCATTTTCAGCACTAGTGCTAAATACGAGACTTTGCTGAAGTTTTTAGATAAATATTAAATTCTTAAATGTTTAGATAAATATATAGAGATACGATATAAATATATAAATACTTTCTTCTGGCCGCATCAGCTACTATTCATCTTAATAAAACATTATGTACTTTGTATACTTGATGAAACGTAAAATGAAATTCAGTAAGCCTGCCTAAAATGCGGGGTATGACACTCGTGGCAAAAGTGATTTTATTTTGCTGGCACGATTGCGCTACTCTGCCTATGGTTTTTATTGTTTGCAATATTTCCTATTGCAGAATAAAAGAACGCTTTATTATTCGAACCACAAATATATATGATTAAAAATAATTTTTATTGCTTACCTGAAGCAGAGTGCCATTTTGTCAGCTGTAAGCCAGCAGTTGGCGGCCGCCAACATAAAATACATCGGGAACCCTGCGTGAGAGATGTCATTGTAATAATAGCAACACCAGTCTTAATGGATTGTTATGTTTTAAAGAATTTCCAACTGGTTGAGAGACTGTTCTCATGCACGTCAACTGCAATGGTCATTAGTCTCGTACGAGTTTTGCTTTTATGAGGAGGGAGGTGAGCCTCACAGGATGTGGCGGCGATTTCTTTAGCTACAACAGGAAGCCCCTCCTGGTCTACCTGGCTGCCTGTGGGAGATACTCCTCCGGAGAGTTTCCCCAGAAGGTCACTGCCCTTACCAGGATGACATTGCTTTTCGAAAATGCTGTTATAACGCTAAAATGTGTTTGGTACAGGACACCTTAATTTAATTTACCTGCAACTTCATTTGCTTCTCATTAATCGTCGATAATCAAATTACATCTCAAAGTGGTTTATATCTCTTGTGGCAACAAGATGTATGGCAACAAGATGTGAGACATTGATCCGGAAGCTGAAGTACATTATTTGTTACAAGCATATTAAATATTTAAAAAAAGTATATAATGCTAATGTAAACTAATTCATTATGTATCACTGTTTCGATAAAGTAAAGATTATTTTTCTTTTTGCTTATCAGTACAGTTTAATTGTTTAGAAACAGTTATGCAGCAGAACATATTTTACTTTTAATTTAAATTTGTGAACTGACTTCAAATGTTTAATGATTTAATTTTTTAATAAATTAAAAAGTGCATGTATTGTATGTGGATTTTTGATAGTAAGCTGTTGATACTGATACTTTAACATGATTTCTGCGACGTGTTGTAATTGTGTTGTAATTGTAAACATCAATATGGCATTAAAATATGTTCCCTCTGTTAAATAAGTCACTTTTGATAAATATTATAGATTCGTAAATAAATAGGCAAGGCAGTGATAAGATCTCAAGCTCAATGAAGAAAAACTTGCAAGGGTAACCTGGATGGCATTCTTTCATCATTCGAATAATTTTCTTTTTCAATCTTAAGGTCTGGATGGAACATACTGAGCTTCTCCAGTATATTATAACTTATCTCAGACGGAAGTACACATTTGCAAAATACCCGCAACTAGATGCACGAAGCCTGACACAATTTGAAAGAATCTGAATGCGTAACATAATGAACTTAATTTAGTGTTTAATTCTGTTGTACTGTTGTGCAATTATTGCTGTATTACCATTCAACAATAATGTTCACAACTCTATAATTGTAATATATTTGTAATATATATTCACAAACAGTTTTACTTCGTTTAAAATGAAGAGCAATTGTATTGTCCCAGAGTTGGTAAATCGCCCACATTTAATATGTCTTTAATATCAAGTAGTCAAAGAAAATAATGTTTTGTGGGTGAGGAATGGCACTTTACGCATATGTAACTTTTCTTCGATATAGTTATGCTTCCTTTGGTACAATGCAATTGCAAGTCCTCAGCTAGTATAACGTAATCCAACTCGTTTTAGAAAATGTATCAAAAAACTCGAAATTATGTACATTTCATGAATTTGTATTGTAGTGTATTGCTTTTTTAAAGATGGAATTACAGTTGGGAATTAGTGGGTAGTGACACGATAAATCTCAACTATGTTTTTTCTGTCTTTATTTGGGGAAGAAGTTACTGTGTGATCGTTTAGAATTTTTATTACTAGAAATTGTGTTAACTCAAAATGTAGTTTTATCTTTGAAAACTTATCTGATGTTTACGAAAAAATCGAAACCGTTATGCCTTGCGATATGTTTTGCGTTGCTGTATTAGTTGGTGCAGATAATATTGCGTTAACAGTGGAACGCCGTGAATGTTAATCTAGTTTTTCATATTGAAATTCAGAGAAACAAAATGGTCATCGTACGTAAAATATAAATAAAATATATTATTTCAAATACCTCAAAAACGTAAATACTTTCAACAGAAACAAGCAGAAATTGATTGTAATATTCTGCACAGGACGTGCATCATACTTTTTTAAATACATTTTTAATCACCCTCTAGCGGTTTTTTGTGAATGCATAGCGAGCTAAAAGTTAAATTTTGAGCACTAGTGCTTCGATGACACGATGAACGTTTTAGCACTTGTGAAACGATTCTTCAGATTAATCTGTGTATTCAACTGTGAAAATGAAATACTTTCGTGACACCTCATCAGTTACTATTAGCTTCAATGTATCATTCAGTGAAATCTAATCTTGAATTAAAATAAAATGAAAGTCGGTAAGGGTGTATAAAAATAGAGTATGATACGCATGGTAACAGTGATTTTATTTTCTTCTTGAAAATCCGCAGATTTGGAGCAACTTTGCGGTAAGACAAAAAAGGTAAAGCTTATCGCAGGGATACAGAGAAATGTGCATTTTCTTACTTTCATAGAGACAAGTTCATGTCAGAATTGGGACTACAAAGCGTAACTTTGTGGAGCAATCTTTACTTCTCCCATAATAAAATGCCCCATTCACCACTAGTATCATAAAAATGTTCAATTATATTAGAGTGTATTGTAGCGTTAACCTCCGCCCAGCCTCCGATTGGTGGACTTCGAGTATCTCAATAGCAGTGGTATGCAACTCTTAAGTAATCTAACGGTTACGGTTAGGTTGACGATTATGATTTCTGTACCCGTTTAGGAAACGCGTCTCCAGTGATACTACGCTTGTAAAGGAAGCGCTGGCGCACGTCCAGTCTCTGGGTCGTGCTTGAACTTAAACTCGTCGTTTACCTCCTCGGCGACCACCATTCCTGGTTCATAGCACTTAACGACGCAGTCGTTAAAGTTGCAATTGGCCCTCGTGAGCACCACGAAGGGCGCCAGCACTTCTTGGGACCCATCTATACAGAAGTGGTACGTCAATGTAGACCAAATTTTTATACCTCGGCAGCTTCAATCTACAATTGTAATGGAATGGTCTAAAGTCACCAAACCAATAAATGACAACGCGACTGCTGCGCCAGCACGAAGCACCCTCCATCTCCGCCTGGTGCTCGTCTCTTTCGACCGCCTCCTGCACCGTTTTCATCAAAGGCTTTTTGCCAACTAGCCTAGAGAGCTCAAAGGCATATCACTCACTCGATTGACCGAAATACCGTGCGGCAGCCAGCGGCTAAACCATGTCTCGTTGAATGGATGCACCGCATAGTTCTCCCAGTTATAAGACATGTGCAGGATGTCTTGGGTCGGCCAGGAAGGGTCCACACACGTCAATCCGTCGAAAGAGAATATCTGAAGGGCCCCGCAGCAGTACTGAAGCGACACCGGCTCGTCTTCTTCTTCTTCTTCTTCTTTTTCTTCTTCTTCTTCTTCTTCTTCTTCTTCTTCTTCTCATCCTCCTCCCTTTCGTCCTCCTCCTTCTCCCACGTTTCTCTCTCTTCCTGCTTCTACTTCTTCCGCCGGAAGTGCAGATAACACCGCCGCCCACAGCATCAGACGCGTCATGAGGCACAGGTCAGGGCTTCGTCTGATTGCCCAATCAAGTGCCCTCTGCGTTCTGTCGTTCGCTGTTCTCTAATAGTTGATTGAACTTGAGTCCCGGCTTGCTCGGTGGGCTTGAGTCACTGCCTGCGGGTGATTTTGCACGGGCTGTGTTGTCAGGGCGGACCAGAGGCGCGTGAAGAGATTCTCTCAACATGTGCAGTAAAGTTGAGGGTTTCTTTAGTAATACCGTACCGTAGTTACATAATATTTCGTAGTCTTCTTGAGTGACGCAGTGTTTCTAAATGTCAGATGCCTACATTGAACATTCATCTTCTCACACCTATCGAGTGCATCCGATGGAGAGCGCAGATCAGGATCTAGCCTTTGTAGTCTCAATTCTGACATGAACGTTTCTCTGTGAATATCATAAAATATACTTTCGTCTGAATCCCTGCGATAAGCTTAACCTTCTTTGTCGTTCCTCGGAGTCACCACAACTTCCGTTCGTCGCTGGTGGCGGTTTGAAATTGCAACACATGGATGCACAAAGTGTGACTCATTCGGAAGTCATTTTAAACATTGCTAAAAGAAAAAATATGTAACCTAAAGAATGAATATTCAGTGAGTCGCAATTACAGCGAGACAGAGGGTTTTGAATGCTGTAAACATTAATAAGGAAACGCATTATACTTTATTTGCAACATGCATGAACATTGTGTGCCTTTTCACAACTACCAGTATCTAAAGAAAAGATACTATCTACGGTATCAAAGCCTCTTCCAAATCGTGCCTTCATTTTTGAGATTTTGCCGTTGTTTTCTTTTCGCCAATTCACCCAGAGGACCCTTATGAATTTTGCAAAAAAAGGGCTTTGCGCTATCGAAAAACTACTTGGATCTGGAACTCGAACCCTATGACAGCCCGGCCAGGGGTACTGCAGTGACATCTATTGATGCCCTGAGCCACCAAAGCCAGTCTAGATTATGAGATGCGGCTCCGGCATACTTTGAGTGTTTTCCTCTCCTGCCATCTCCATCATCAAGGCGCTGCAGCAGGCTCTAATCTCTCGAATGGTTTTCAACCACATGTGGCATTGTAGGGCGTGCAAGTATACGTGTAAGTGTGAATGTAAGGGGATAGAGGGAGATAATGATTGAGAAGGAAAGATTGAGTGCATTCCGTTGTCCATTTGTTGGGTAGGTCCGCGGACTTTGCTTATTATTGATCTGCAAAGGCACGGAAAACTACCGATCAGAGCAGCTGGCCGCTAGAATTATCCTTCAGGCAGCCACTTATTTGGATCTAACTACATTTTGCCGAAAATCTACTTCCACAGTGGCTCGATATCTAGGACTTCATAATAAGTCTCCGCTGAAAACTGCTGTCTCTGAGCTAATTCTGTCAGAACTCTATATTTGCGTATCTTTTCACCCTTTGTTAACTAAAATTACTTCCCCTTTACTCATCGAAAACACACCCATACCACGGCAAATAAAACACCAGTACCTGGGACTCACAATGGATACACAATTATATGGAAAGTACGTATCACAAACACGGTAAGAAAAATACTAAAACATTATAAAACTCTATCCCATACTGTACTATAAAACTACACTTATTATTGAATGTGGTACTCAATTTACAAATCAATAACCAACCTCAATAACGTAAGCGATCCACATTTGAATAAAAGCAGCCTTTAGTCACACAAACAAACCCCAAATTATAATAATAAGTGCTTCAGAAAAAGTACCGAGTCCCCGTGGTTGATCAGCAATGAACAACTACAAACCGAATTAAAAACAGAACCCATTCAAGATTATATTATCAAAATTTCAATAAAATTCTAGGATTTTCTGTTTCAACAGGATCCCCTGTTTCAGCAAATTGTCAAGGTAAGACTTAGGCAGTCGCACAGCATCTACTCACGTTACCTGAACGACATTTTCAAGCCTCCTTAACCATCTGAAAATATAAAATCTCTCTCTCCCTCTCTCCATCTTTCTCTCTTTCTCTCTCCATCTTTCTCTCTCTTTCTTCCTCTCTTTCTCTCTCTTTCTATCTTTCTCTCTCTATCTCTCAGTCTGAATCTCTCTCTATCTCTTTTTATCTCACACCTAGTATCTCTATCTCTCTGTCAAGATACCTCTCAAACACACGCAACAGTACTAAATATTGCATATCAAGACAATTTGAAAAAGAGACTTGGATTTAATTACCATTGCAAGGATTTTTGTTAGTTTTCCAAATTCTCGAAGCATTTTACGATTTTATTCTCCAGTGCATTATTTTGTAAAGATAGCCCTTTTCAAAACAGGAAGAAATGATTTAACATATGATACTCTTTAAATCAAAAGAGAGAAGAGAATATCACACACGTATATTGTGGTTTATATTTGATTTTTAATGAAATGTAACGTAAGTACCACACACAAAGTAGGAGTTGAAAACAAGTGTCCGCAATATGTCAGGTGCTTTACCTGTAGTTCCGTCTGCGTTTCTAGAAAAAGAGTTTTTGCAATCAAATATTAGGACTTCTTGAATACAATACGAACCATGATATTACAAAGAAAACTAAAGTTTAATGTTTTCTAAGCAGATTCTTCAAAACTAAAGTTCGTATTTAGAGAATTTTATCGAATATTTTAACATCTGCAATTTCTAGATTTTTTTAGATCCACACTTCCCAAAGGTGTCAATAGAGGAATTCCTGTACTGCTTCAGAAATATTCTTTCAATTTTATAAACTAGTGGTGCTACAAAATTGCCGTATTAGTTTTATATTTTCTTTGGTCTCGGCTAGCTATTCGAACTTGTCACAAGCTTTTTCCAGATGCCATCTTTCGGCGGCCAAAGTACAATTTTTTTAACAATTTTTAATTTTTTGATTTCCTAATAAGAGAACCGAAATATTATTTTAATAATATTAAAGAACAATTAAATTCTCGCACTAAATGGCAATTATCTTTGATGAATTCGGAGCCGATTTTAAGAAAATGTTGTTCAAACGCTACTGTAAATTCGAAAGTTGAAGTTATTTTTACAGAAATTTTTGAGTTTTCGAAAAACTTCATTTAAAGTCATTTGAAGTAATTTAACTCTCAAATATAATAGCGTTTACAAATTGCTGGAAATGTGCATATCAACAATAAGGTTTGAAAAAACAAAACCATACACTCGAAATAAACTACGTCATATTAAAGAGTGTTTTTGGCCCTACCCGTTCAAAATGTTTAAAGAAAAAGTTGGAGCCTTTTCTGAGAAAATTGGAGTTTGAGCGTTTCCGAAAATGCGGAATTTTGAGCCAATTTTACATGGAAACTGTTGAGTTTCCAAGAACATTTGTATGATTTTTCATATATATAAATTCAAAAGAAAAAATAAATAATGATAAAATTAATAATATAATAATAGGTTATTTAAATAATAGGTTAATTAATAGGTTTATTAGAAGTAAGAACTTCAAGTGATTTTGTTAATGTAATGAAATTTGAATCTGTCTCTGCTGTTTTAGATTACATCGCAAGATGAATTATTTAAACACATGCACTCCTAAATATAATAATGTGAACAAATCGCAACTAATGTAAGTATTACTCGCGCAACTTTTCTTGAACGATGACCTTGCTTCCCCCTCTCTGGCGCAATAAACAGATGAAGCCAAAAACTCGCAGGGAGCACTGATGACAACATTCCAAACACATCTTCACTGGCATGAAGTAGAAACAATTTTCTTTTGAAGACGATAACTTTTATTGGTTATTTTCTCCAAAAATCTAAAGAAATAACCGAAGCAGGTGCGGATCTACCACAGGAGACTCCTCGAACTCCTGATAAAGATAGAACGCCAATTATTGAGAACGTTACGAAGGCGTGACTGATTCTTCAGAGATTGGCATTGCTTCATAAAATCTAGTGGCTGTTTACGTAACTAATACCCCTTACTCTACCCGTATTTCTTCAATCCATCGTTCAAGAAAAGTTTCGCGAGTAATATTAACGACGCGAGAGACAAGACAGAAAAATTACATTTTTGTAATTTTTGAAAAAAATAAATGAATAGATCAAAATGTTTATGTCATCTCAAAGAGCACATAGAGCATTATTATTACAAAAAGTTTAAAGAAAGATATTGGAGCCATTTTTGAGAAAATCTTGTTGAAAATCTTGAAATTGAATATATTGCATGCCATATTGCGCGACAACTACTGGGCTTTGTCAAGAAATGTGCGTAACCTTAATAAAAGAACTCGGCATGGAGAAGAAATTTTATTTGAAGAAAATTCTTCAATTTTGCAGTTGTAGAAAGACGTCCAAAAATTTTCAAAATTTGGAATTTTTTGAAAATTCAAAGTTAACCATGATAATTGGACAAATGGCCCCTTTATAAGTGTATTTTACAATTTTTTAAAAGAAAGTTTAAGAACAAATTTGGAGTGGTTTGTGAAAAAAATTGATAATGTGCGGGAGGCTTTATGTAATGTACACCCAAATTTCGAAGAAAGTGTTTGAAAATCCCAGAGCCTCGAGTCGAGCGAGATAGATTGGGGAATATCCATTTTGGAAAAAATGTACGTATTGGTGAAAAGGTTTGGAAAAAAATGTACGGTTTCGGCGCTAGTGATGTTCACATAGGGACAGACAGACGAACGGACGGATGTTATGAAAAAAAAACACTTATTCGGTATCAGGGGACCCCAAAACTTGTATTTTCATTGAAATCTAGTTATCGATTTATCGATGCGTATATTACTCTGTAGAATATGTATGTATACGCTAGAGTAAAAATGTTTTAGAGTTCTGTAAAGTGTGAACACTACACTACTACATTGTATGAAGTAGTTAACTTTTTTCCAAACCTCAGATCAAAATATGTAGTGAATATACATCCCATATTTTCATGCATTTACGGTTATGTAATATTTATAATACTATTTGAACTCACAATGCAACCGAGTTTACAACCGGCAGAGATGTCCCAACCCACGATCGATTTCGAGCTTGGAAAGGTAGTCCAAATACAGGGCACTTCAGACCTTTCTTGTACTATTAATTGGAGACAACTGCTCACCAGCAAATCTAGTAATGTAACTTGAAAAATCAGACACAACTTCAATACAGAAACAAAACCATTTGAAGTTCTGTGACTATAAACCTATTATTTATGTTATTAATTCCAGCATTATTTATTTTTTCTTTTATATTTATATATTATTATATTTTTTAACATAAATGTAAATGTACAATATTATAAGCAATAAAACTTGAGAATTGATAACTTTATATATTCATAATTGTAGAATGATAAGTATAATCTTAAGAACAGCCACACCTTCTTAACCATATAAATAGGAAGGGAGGGAGTCGATGGAGAGTCGAGGGAGGGGTAGAGGGAGCTGGGACGTTGGGTGGGCGCATGAGGGGCAGCGAGAGGGCCGACGAGGTGACAGAGGCGTCTGCGAGCGGCGAGGGGCGCGGCGGAGGCGTTCATTTACGACATCAAAACGCCGCCGTGAGCCGGCGGCGTCGCGGGCCGCGCTGCGGGTTTCGCCTCGGCCGGGCTTCGATCGCCGGACCAAATATTTGCCAGCGCAACACATCGGAGCTCCCGCCAGGCGGCTTGCCCCTCCGCCCGGCGCCGCGCGAGGTGGCGACGCAGGCCCACGCAGGGAAATGGCTGTGGGAAGGAACAAGGAGATTGATATTCTGAATATATGATTCCCAGGTCTACGGGAAAAAAGAAAAATCTTGCATTATGGTTTTGTTATTGTTTGCCACAATATCAAGCACAGAAGGACGCTGTTCATTGGAGGGCAATATTTGAAGTTTTAGTTACTGTAGGATTTTTAAGAGTATTACAATTGGAAGATGTCCTGGTTTTCACTTACTTCAAAAGTGTTGTTGGAATACACGACGGTTTTGCTGTTAGCAGAGTTGGTTTGTTTTATGGAAATTTCTATAGTTTCCTTTTTCTTTACTAGGCTATCACGTTTTTTGTCGTTAGCGCCAGTTTAGCGAGTATTTTTTTCTTAAGACATTTCATTCCCTTGAAAAAAGAAATGAATAATAATGCGGTACTTCTATTACACTATTATTATTCCTCCTGCCACTAATAATACAACAGCTACTAATAATAATATGCTTCAAAATAATTTTAGTACTAATATATCTGGTACTTGGTGTTCTAATAGTACAAATAAGTAATCCTGTAACTACCAAATCTCAATTAGCAAGGACCTAAATTATTGGTGCTTATTCATATTAATGTCATTTGGTTTCATTTCAACTGTTTAATTTTGCATATTTTAAAATTATGCCAATACTGACGTTAATACAGATATCTCTATTTATTATTCACCGTTTATTCAATAAAATAAGTTAGTTGATTTAATAACATTCAACATTTTTGTATGCGTTTCAAAGTTAATTTTGAAATTAATGTTTTTGAGAACATTTTGTTTTATTATTTTTTTAAAATGAAACATTGCGTAAAATATTGTGCAAAAAGTCTTAATTTTTCAAAAAATGTACATGACCTTATTGAAAGAAGTAATTGTGCACAATAAATTTTGTTTGAAGAAAAAATCTTTTATTTTCAATTTTGTAGTTTAAAGAAGGCGCCGAAAAAAATCAGTATTGCATGTTTCAAAAATTAGAGTTTACAGTTAATTCGAGTTAACAGTGAAACTCGGACATATGACATCTTTTTAAGTGTATTTTATTGTATTCCAAAGACATTTTAAGAAAATTAAATTTAAAGAAAGTTAAAATTTGGAGCCTTTTTGAGAAAACTTTGAAAATGTCCGGTGGGCTTCATGTAAAGAACCCTCAAATTTTAAAGAATGTTTTTCAAAGTAGCAAGGCTTTGAGTGGAGTCAGATTGACAGGGCAATATCCATTTTGGAAAAAATCCAAAGTATGGTTTAGGCCCTAGTTGTTTGGCGAATTTTCGGCATAAAACTCTCACCGCCGAACCCCGATAACAAAACGTCGATAAATCCAGTTGCTACATTTAGAAAAATATTCTAACACATGGTGTGACCAGAATCCCGGTTTTGAGGGTCACTGATAAAGAAAAATCAATTGACGGCAAAACGAATGTCAGTCCGTCCGCTTGTTCGTCCGTCTGTGAACACCGCTAGCACCTAAACCATTCATAGAAAATGTTTTTAAATTAATATTCCTCACTCGATCTGGCTCGACTCAAAGCCCTACAATTTTGGAAAAGAATCGTTAAAACCTGGAGGTATTTTACATGAAGCTCCAGCGATATTTTCAAAATTTTCTCAAGAATGGCTCAAAATTTTTTCTTTAAATTTATTGTAAGAATAAGCTGAAATACAATTAGAAAGTTAGCAAAGGTCCGATTTTCACTATTAACACTGTTTTTTATTTCAAAAGTTTTAATTTTTTTGGCGTCCTCCTACAACTACAAAATCGATGATAGTGATTGTTCCTTGAAATGAAAGTAATTTTCCATAATTAGTTCATTCTTAAACTCTATATACTTTTCTTGAATAATTGAGTCGTTTTCGCACAATATTGCATGTACTATGTTTAATTTAAAAAATAACAAAAACAAGTTTTTCGAAAACAAAGCTCCTAGTTTTCTTCTTTAATATTTGGTATACATTATAAGTCTGCATGTACATGATGGTGCTCCATTCTTTTTCGACTCTTTGACTTGTCTGTCACTTCATTAATATTTTCACTAGCGGCAATTTGTTCACATATTGTATTTATGAGTTTATGTGCCTAAATAATGTTATATAAAGTTTGTGGAAAACTCAACAATTTTCCGTTAAAGTAAGCTCAAATTTCCACATTTTCAATAACCTTCAAACAGCATTTTTCACAAAAACGGCTTCAAATGTTTTCTTTAAACTTTTTGTACGGAGAGTGGTAATTGTGCTATTTAAGATGGCATAAAAGTAATTTTGCTGTATTCTTTATGTTATTTAAATAACACAAATATAATGTATTTGAAATATCTTTCAGAGCATTAATATGCACATTTCCAGCAATTTATATACATTTTGTATTTGGAAATGAATGCAATTTAAATGATTTCTAGTGAATATTTTCGAAAATTCAATGATTTTGTCTTCAAAAGAGCTTCAATTGTTGAATTTTTGGTAACGCTTAAACGCCATTTTTCTAAAACCAGCTTCAAATTTTGCAACAAAAATGTCCATATAGTAGGAAGTTTTACTCTTCTATAATATTCTTAAAATAATTTTTCATTTCTGCCATTAGGGAACCGAAAAATTGAGCAAATGTGAAAAAAATATGTTTGGGCATCCCAAGAGGATGGGCCATGACCCCAAAGCTATCCCCTTCCAAAGATATTAGGAAATTAACTAGTAGGAGAATGTCTGTGCCATTCTGTAGCATCACTATTTGTTTATCAGGCCCCACAATACGAGTTTTTCTGCCGAATATTCGAAAGCCGTTTCTTCGCGCAGCATTTCATAACTTTCTTTTTACTATATTTATTCTCCATATATAGTGCGTGCGTATTAGAGAAAGTAAAAGTAAGCAACTGAAATGGTCTTTTCTGTTGACTATTGCTGTTCCAGATGTTTCCCTATTCTGTTTCCAAACTGACGCACTGATTCCTTCGTTACTCTTCCCCCATAAGCCCCCTGGATTACACGTTTCTTCCTCCTTTCAATGTCTCTTCACACTTTATTGTTATTTTCCCAGCCTCAAACCTCTTCTTCCTGAGCTATTATTCCTCAACAAAGATCCCTCCCTTGAAACACTTAACTTTCCCTCCATCGTATAAATGCTTTTCTCTCTTACTCTCCTCTCGCTTCAACCCCAAATCCCCATTCCCATCCCCATCCCCAAATCAGTGTGGCATTTACTAAGCTATCAAACTCCTTCATCCTGTACGTATGTTTATTTTTATACGACGCGTATATTGTTTTAAATTAAAAGTTTAAATACGTAATTTCATCAACCTCCTCCATCAAACTACCTTAGCTTTTCGGTTCCTCACGTTTACTTTCATTTCTAGCCTTTCTAAACTACATCGCTTTTTAACTTTAGGACATTCAGATCTAGTTGTTTCAATTTTTTTAGCTTAAGTTTGACCCAACTTTTTTTTCTTCTTCCATTAACACCAAGTCGATCGCATAGGTTCAAAATTGGTCCACCCTAGGCTTTGGGTCAAGTAATGGACACCAAAAGGTTTGATTGGTCCACCGTCAACGCAAGATCTGATACCAAACTATTTATCACTATCAAACTGCGATTCTTACTGCCGATTTTCAAGTGCAGTTAATTTCTCTTTCTCGCAATACATGACCCATGCTTACCTATTAGGTTCGTGTGAATATTTGACTCAGCATACTAGTTTCAAAAAACAATTTTCCGTCCTAAATATTATTAAGCATTGCTTTCAAATGTTACTAATGCCGCATCTAAAGGAGGACCCAAGGTTTTAATAATTTACTATGCAAATTAAAATAATTCATTATATCAAATGTGGAATTACTCGCGCCAATGTGTTAATTACGTTCAACGGTACATTTAGAGCTGTGGTAGCCACTTAAGTATTTTGTTTTCTCTGTTGCAATCACAGATTTATATTCAAACGAAGTACGTTTCTGTAATTAGAACAATTAAAATGATCACTAATTACAAATTAAAATAAAGTACTGGAGTTGATCAGCCGCAGTTAACGCCGCCGCCGCCGCCACCAACGGTCAAATCGGGGCGGGGGGGAACGGCGAGCGCGAGCACGTTAGTGGTGCCGCGGAGACGGCCTCGAGTGAAGCACGGATGGCAGTGCTGCGTCCAAGAGATTTAGTGTCGGTTGTAAGTGCAATTCGGACTGAGTTGTGGCCGGGAATTGAGTGTGGAACCAGAGGTTGATAAATGATTAACAATCAAGATGATTAGTGGAAGTAGAATTGCGCACCAGAACTGCAATAAAACTATAAGCACAGGAAATCGTGTGCCGGCGGCTCGGGTCATTATCCCGCCCTTGGTATAACTATAACAGTGGCAGTACTGTACGGACATCCGCGCCAAAGTTTCAGGAAGGTCGCTGAAAAAGACTAGAACAGCCGACGAACATCAATTCACGTCTCGTGCGTTCCAATACCCGTGAGACATTGTTCACACCGGCTTGGAGTGACCCCTTGCGAATTCATCGCGCGTTACGTTGGACAGAGGAGTTGTCGCCGAGGAGGGCGAATTCCGTCGGGACTTCGGGGCGAACCGAAGATTGCCGAAGACACAGCCGCCGTCGCCACGACAGGCCCGCTCGCCTCCAAGAAGCAGGTGTGTTTTTAAAAACATCAAGTAGCGTTGACCGTGAACTTGTTTCCAGGCCTGCGTATTGCGATTTGTAAATTACTATTTGTAAAGTGTGTTTTCTGATCATTAAAATAATTAGATGTGCAAAAGAATCTATAACGATTATCTTCCTATGCTACGCCAAATTCCTGGAGACCCATTCACGATAATGTACCTGTGCCTTGCACAATTTATTTGTCGTGAAAGTACCGCTTCCCAGGTACGTCACAATATGAACACTTGAATATCGTCGCACTTTCAGCACTAGAGCTAAAAATGAACATTTAGCATTCTATGCATGCCCTGAAAGCACCGCTTTTCCTAGTGACTGTCCATAAAATAAATTCCCGTACAACGCCGGATCATTGTGATTTTTTTAAAAAGAGCAGGTTCAATTTGCAGTAGAAATCTAATGAGCCCTCCCCTAAAAAAAGGATTTTAAAATACCTACAAATCACTCGTTATTGATGTTCTTCCAATTTTCAGTGGGCTTCTTTAATGCTTCGTGGAAGAGTTCATAAATCTTGGAATTGTGGCTGGCTTAATATTGTAGTCAGTCTCTTGTTTTTCACTCGAAATTTATGAAGCTCTCTAGTTCTAAATTTCACGTCATTGTCGAAACGTGTGCAATACAAATATTTGAGAAATACGTGTATTGATTTGTATCAATCGTCTGAAATCCCTGTGGTCATTGGACCCCTAATTTATTAAAACAGGTATTTTGTCACAAAAAGTTAGCCAGAAGATACATGTCATTTACGCGTACAGCTGGAAATAATATGCATTCGTAACGAAAAATATAAAAAAAATTCTAAACATATTTTCCTTCACGAGTAAAATTTAATTCTTCAACGTACAAAACCCTTCGTGATACCTACCTGTAAACAACTCTGAAGTGTAGCGAGAAATTAAACCAGGGAAACAACTAAAATTATATCTCCCGTTTAAAACATTCCACATGAAAAGTCCTTCCTCTTTTGACTGCGAGCCAGCGGACGGTAAAATTCCCCATATCCCGCGAGATATGCAAATGCTGCATGTCAGGTCCCGTCCCAGCTCATGGAAGCGAGGGGCGGGGGAGGGGGAGAGTGGGAGGTCGTAATTTGCGCGCGAAGGGCTCGGAACTTGAATCACGCACGACCAATTCGAAATAATTCCATTCCGGTGACATCGGACTGCGTCTGCGGCGACAGGGTACACCGGCGGGAATTGGAAAACGTAGTAATGCCAGTAGACAGGGAAGGCAGACGCCACGAGAAAGCGGTTTGAGAACTTGAGCTTGCGAGATGGATTTTTGATTAATTGATTGATTGATTAGAGATTCCAGGCGCATCATTTGCTAAAGTTATTAGTCCCATAATTGTAGTGCATGCTTTTCTTCGGGAGGTGGGGATCTTTCCTCACTGTATGACCAGATCCGGCGCCGACCTACAGTCTGCTAGTAGGGATTTCCCCAACCAGATATCTCTCATTAGAAGAGCACCGTCCTAGCTGGGACGAGCTTCATGTTAGCGACCGGTCTCCCGGCGTGCGTGGTAGTGCAATGCATATCAGAGTGAGCGTGTGTAAGTAAGGGGTAAGGAGATGGCAAGGAAGAGGAAGGAACGCTCACACGCGATTCTTGGCCCGTTTGTTGTGGCACTGCTGCAGCTTTCGCCTGGTATTTATCGGAGGAACCACAGGGAGCAACTGATCGGAGCAGTGAGAACTCTCCTTCAGCGACAGAACGCGTCCTTGTCTATCTAGACAGAAAAATTCTACCACCATGGGGACTTCAATTTCAAGATCTGTCAGAGGCACTGAAGTGACACCAGTTGATGCCCTGAGCCACCTCTTCCTGTTTGTCGAGCTGGAAAAGTGGTATCGGTTTGTCAGTTGTTACTATAGTTGCCATATGTCCGGTTTTGGACCAGACAGTGGTTTTCTTCATGTCTGTGTGGTGAAGAAAATCTTGGTAAACCGGAAGAAAGATACTCCGGTTTTAAAGGATTTTCATGTAATATGAGGCTGGCGCCGCCAGATATGAACTCAAAAATTCTGACTCTGTCCGAGTCAACATCTAGTAACGCAACAGTTAGGGCTGTAGGTTTAGGGTAAGTGGGAGGAAGGTAGGTGCATGGATATAGATAGCACGCTGAATCACCGCCGTCTCCCCTACTCACGCGCGGAAGTCAGTGCTCAGTCGGCAGTTGCTATTTTTGTCATGATTGTTACAGCCTTACAGGTTACGTCTCGGTATTCAGCGTTTTGAAATTATTTAGTTTGTATGTACAGTTTCACTTTTCAAACTGAACACAACTAAACCTTTCGGATAACAGATTAACACTATATCTTTATTACATAATATTGATAAATATAAAAAGGTTAATAGTAAACTTTTTTCATTTTTAGTAATTTTTATGAGCTAACAAAATTTAAAATGTCTGGTTTACATTCGAACACATTTGTCAACTCTAATAGTTGTGACTAGTATGTGAATGCTTATGAGTTGGGCAACCTCGTAAGTAGTAATTTTTGTATAGCCCGCAATAGGAAGTGTTTTTGACACTCCTAACTGATTTTGACGTTCGGTTCTTCTCATGATAAGTAGCAGCACGCCAGCCCAAACTGTGTGAATGCTTATTCTGTCGAGAATAGTTTCAGAGGAAGGCTGTGAAGCTCTACAAAATGTAATACCACAATTTATTTATATCAAAATTACATAATCAGGTTGTTATAAGATACAAACCAGCAGGTTGATATCAGCATAATTCCAGCGGGATGCTTTGAAAGTTAGAATTAGTATAGAATTTCATATTACTTTGTTTTTTTCTTACATTTTATTGTTTGTTATACGTTGACAAATAAATCTTGTTTAATTTATTTAACATTTGAGTGACGGGTTTTTAATGTGATTTTATGAAGGATTATCGATATTTTTCGTCACCTCACTGTTGTGGAACTGTATATTGTAATGATTTAAAAAGTTAGTAACAATTTAAGCAATAGTTAATTAAAAGATGTTATAAATGTCAATGATATAATACGAAATGTCAATGATAGTATATAGTATTCATGAAATGCGGTGTAGTAAAGTGCAAAGTCTCTCAAGGCAAGGAAAGAAAGTAGTCATCTCACTTCCTTTCATGTCCATCCCATTGTAGCTGCTTGCAAAGATGAGGTAACTACGAAGTACGACCTTTGGTTATTTCCACATCAATTATATCTTCATGTACGTTTTATGGACCAGATAATGTAAGTGGCAGGGATTATTGTTCAATGGGATTGCCTTATCTCATTGTCCCGACAGCCGTACTTTAAATCCAAGATAAAAGGTTTACGAGATTTGTTATGTTCTCGGTGCAAACCCATGTGCATATTCTCGCTATATGTATCAGCAATAAAGTGGTGCAACATTCCATATTCTCTGCATATTGATAGATACTACATTGTAAATTATGTACATTTATAACATCTATTAAGTGAGCATCTCCCTTAAGCAAATAGCTTGATTCCTGATACACGATATCTATAGAAATACGGCCTAGAGGTCTGAAGGGAACAACGCGCTTCTCAACAGACAATAGTTTAAGCCTAAAGTATCCAACCAATGCTCTCTAAAACACATTTTGTTTTCAAATTTCAGTGGTCAATAGTTGGCACAAGATGTCAATGATCAACTGACTGAAAGCTGGTTCGTGGTAATTGTCGCCTATAGGTGACACACAAAGCGCTGTGCAATGTTTTTATTTTTCTTGTTTACTTCCTAAGAAGAGAAAGCAATTTAATCGTGCGCGGAAAACGAATTGTCGATGGAAAACACTTGTTGTCAGACTTGGGGAAAGAAAAAAATGAATAAATCTTGTTTTTTTTTTTTTCTATACAGGGAATCTCACCAACAATGTGCTAACCTCATTAATTCTAAACAGTTCATGATATTGAAATGCAGTTTTGTCTCAACAATGCGAATCATGAGGCACGTGATATAGTAAGAAGATACTGACTAAAATATTTTTAGGCTTTCAGAAATTAATCATTGATTTTTTAAACCGGAACATATATTTTTCGCTAGCATTAGATATATCATAAAAAGAAGAGTGCAATGATGTAGCATTTATTAATGTTTTGATTGTGTTTTGAGTATAAAATGATACTTTCAATGTATACCAAGGCCAGAAATAGCTCTATCATCTCACCTCCACACAATGCCATCGCACTGTGACTGCTCCCGTAGATGCTCTTCCGAAAAAATGAAGCTAGTTCTGAGAACATTTTGTTATAGCGTTTCTGAAAATACACTATTGTGAAATTTAATGATATATAACAGCTTTTAAAAACGACTGGATTCCAGATCAAAGGTATTTGTTAAAACAGAAAAAATTGCAATTTAAAAAACATTTCAGAAATTTATTTTACTTGTGAACAAATTGTTCCTTATTAGAGCCAAAAATTAAAAGGAACTAGTGGTGCTACAGAATGGCGCAGACTTTCCCGTATTAGTTTTCTATTTCCTCTGCTATCGGCTTGCTACCATACTCTTGGCAGCTACCAAGTACCGCCGTCTAAAGTACATTTTTTGACATTTAAAAAAATGTTCGGTTTCCTAATTGTAGAGTGAAAATATTATTTAAGGATTATTAAAGAACTGTTAAACCTCTTCCAAAATATCAATTTTCGGTGAAAATTTTGGACGCGTTTTAAAAAATTGGTGTTTAAGTGCTATTGTAAATTCAAAACTTTTTTTCATGAAAAATGTTTGAATTTTAGAAAATCTTCACATAATTTATTTTAAGTACTTTAACTCGCAAATACAATAGAGTTTACACATTGTTGGAAATGTTCATGTTAGCGACGTCAGAGATATTTTAAAAAATTCAATTTTTTGTAACTTTTGATAAAACCAAAAAAATACACTGAACTCAACTTTACGTCATATTAAAAAGTGATATTACCACTATTCGTTCGAAATGTTTAAAGAAAATAATTGGACATGTTTTTGAGAAAATGGTGTTTGAGCGTTTCTGAAAATACAGATTTTGGGCTAGATTTCACAGACAACAGTAGAGTTTTCGACTAATTTTATATGGAATTATTTACAGCACATATACTTACAAATATAATGTGAACAAATTGCAGCAATTATAAATAATAATAATATGAGAGACAAGTAAGAAAAGGCGTTTTGTAATTTTTAAAATTTTTGACAAAACAAGAGTAGAGCAATATTTCGTTTATGTCATCTTATAGAGTAGATTTAGCACTATCCCTGCCAAAAGTTAAAAAACAAATATGATGCCGTTTTTGAGAAACTCTTGTTTCTGTAACTTTTTTAAAATATCAAATATTGCACGCAATATTGCTCGAAGACAACTAAATAACATATTACTCCGTGTATACTTACGTATACGGGAAATTAAAAATGATTTAATTCTTAGAATATTTGGAAAATTTCTTCCAGACTCCATATGAATTACCCGAAAAGTGTTCCAGGAAATTAAGGCATATAATTCTAAAATGGTTTGATATAAATAGTATAGTAATTAGTGGTCTTCTACGGTAGTGAAAACAAGGTGAGAATGTCTCTAAGATCATTTGCATTTGCATTGTTTGTGGTTTGGTTTGAAATTGAATAAACCATTTACTATGCTACTTTTAGGGACAAGTTAGAGAGTGTTAAATATTGCAAGAGACGGACATTTGACCTTCAATTGTAAACAATTTTGCAGCTTCTTTAAGTCTAAGTAATGTAAGTATACAGCAATCCCCCGAACATTTCTCTATATGTTGAAATGCTCTTGATAATTGTTATCGAAAGATACAATTATAGAATGTCAAACAAAACAAAAAACTTTGCCTTTAGCCCCTTCGGAAAAAGAAACATTAAACTTGAAGTTTGATATTCAAGAGGAAGTAATGGAATGTTGGCGGTTGAAAATAACTCTTAGCGCAGATTACGATGACGATGTAGAATATTATCAAGAAAGATGAACTAACGCGAACACAGAATTAACAAGTTGCTCCGACAATAGGAAAGCCTCGAGTTTGGGCTGTCACGCTTGCGAGCGCTGCGAGAGTGCTGGAGGGAACTTCAGTTCGTGAATTTAGTTTTGAAAAGGTTTATATCAGAAGTTACATAATTGGTTTGAAATTGTACAATCTTAAAGATGATGTGTCTTGATGGTATTGAAGTACAGAAACATGCTGATTACTGAATTGGTTAAAAGTAATAATTATAATTGTTTTTGTTTTTGAATTTGTTTTTGAATTTCAGTGATGTACTCTTACGCTTACAAAAATTCAAAAGCTACAATAATACTCAATGCTACATACTAAACCCTTTCCTGCAGTTATCAAACATTCTTAACTTTTCATCTTTGTCTTCTAAAACGTCATCTTAGTTCTCAATGTTACATATTATATCGAAAGGAAATATATTAGAAACGGTGAACGATTGTAAGTATTAAGGGTTTTTGCTTAACAAGAGAGGGGCTCTGAAAAGCATGCAGCAGAAACAGGTAAGAAGGGAATGTTCGGTATGAAACGTGTGGGATATAATTAAGAGAAGGTGCAGGTATTTTGGAGCAAAATGTATGAGGATATATGATAGTATTGTTATTTCTATTTTCAGGTGGGGGCAGAAACTCGGGGATGAAAGGAAAGGAGGAGACTAGAAGCAATAGATGAAAGATTTTTAAGATGGATCCTAGGTTCAGAGTATTGCACACCTGGTTACATGGTAAGATCGGGAACAGAGAGGTAAGAAATGAGAATAGAGAAGGAAAATGGCGTGCAAGTATGAGGAAAGGGTTAGGAGAGGTAGGGGAATTGAGATATTAAAGAAAGTTTATTGGGAAATAGATAAAAACATAAACTAAGACAGAGACTGAGAAATCTGATTAGGAAAGGGAAATTTTTTGGAATAATAAATGTTAATCGTTGGAGAAGGAGAAAAGGTAAAGAGGAGAATGGATGGACTTAAGTAAAGTATTGATGCAAAGATATAGAGATCAGTTATTTCAAGAAGATTACGAAAATATAATTACTTTTAATTTTATTAAATGGTATAAATTGATTCTGATGGATGATATTCCTTGCTATTTAACAGGTATATGTAAGAAAATTGACAGATGCATTGTATGCGCACCGCGCGTCCGTGTCCTAAGAGGGTGGCAAAGCCGGCGGCGCGGTGACAAAGAGACGGATTTGCGCCTTCGCTGTCCCGGCGGCCGAGCGGAGAGGGGAAGGGGTGACGCAGGCGGTTTCAAACCACTTGCGTGCGTAAACATGCATGATAGCAAGACGTAGGTTAGGTAATGATATGAAAGCAAGTAAATATTGGTAGAATAGTGAGTAAGATGAAAAATAGTAGAATCTGTAAGATGGAAGAGGAAGATTGAGAACATATTTTAGAGAGATGTCTAATTTTTTAAGAAGAAAGAATGAAGGAAATTGTACCATTTTTTAAGTTTACTTTCATAGCTTTTGGGTCATAATATAGTTATTGATTATTCTCAGGCTTTAACATATTCAGTGCTGCGGATGTTGAATATTTTTTTCACTTACAACTCATTACAGTTTCTTTATTTACTTGTCACATTTGATCAATTTAGTGGACCTGCATTCAGAAATAATGTTTTGTTTCATTTTAAAGGAACATTTGATTCGTAATTCTTGAAATGATGTACGAAACGGTCGTTGATTGAGTAATATTCAATGTAGAACAATAAAAACCAAATATAAAAATTTACATAGAATCATTTTTCTATAACATACTTTCATGTGCACATTAAATTTCTAAGTTTCAGTTTTAAAGACCTTGCAAATAACCAATACTACTACTTCTAGTGCATTGAATTGAATTGAATTTGCCTTATTTTACGTGGCGAGACTCGGGCAATCAGGTCTTCTCTTCCGTCTGACCATACAAATTTCGCTACGTTTCTTTCACCAATTAGGAGAGAAAGGAGGTATTTCTTGGGCGAGAAACAGGCGATTTGAATTTAGCTCAGAGGCGTCATTTAGGCTTGAGGATCTTTTACATGCAAGTAAATCTACGAACATGGGACAGCCGGCTTTACTTCCCCTCCGAAGGAAGGCGTACGAAGGATTTTTTCGCCCTTAAACGGCTTCGATCGGGTTTGAACCCGCCAACTTGGGTACAACAGTCGAGTACGCTAACCGTTACACCATCGCCGCCGCGTAGTGTATAGTGCATAGTATAGCGCGTAGTGCATAGTATGCTAAAACTACTTATTGTGACAAAACCTCCCAACTAAAGACCCAAAGAAAGCAGTGTGTATAACCTGAGTAATTTCGTAAGATTTGGAGAGGGACTTTAGCGTACAGTCACTTTGCTCGCTAATATAGGATTATTTGTGGCATTGAAAATAAAATATTTTGAAAAAGATGAATTGTATTGTCAAGAGAAAATTCTACAAAAGAATAATGAATTTTATTTTGTATTCTAATATTATGTGTGCTTGTTTTTTGAGGCAATAAGAAATTTTTAGTAATCATTCCAATACATGAAACAATGATCACCTCTGAAACGAAGTATTTGAATGTATACGGATTATATTTGATTTTTCATCCGTTCACACGCTCAGAAATTTGAATGTTAATATGCTTGCTAAAAGCCCGTGCTACTTGGAGAACCTAAAAATTGCATACAAAAACCATATGTTCTGTTGATATTTATTTAATTACAGAAATCGTTTGAGACTGGCATTTTTGGTCGTTGGGATGTTTGCTTTAAAGGAAACGTGCATATCCACGAAGGGTTCTCCTTGAAAGGAAATGGCTTAACTTCGGGGCAGTATTTATAACCAGAGTTATAGCCTAGTGTTATAGGCAGAGTTGTTTAGTAGTTTACACACCTAATAACTGGGTTCTCGCGCCTGTTGGAGACGGTAATGCTCAGCTCTCTGAAAGAGAAATGGATAAAGCAGACTCTGAAGGGGATGAAGACAGTGAAGTGAAAATATATCGAAGATATGCGGTTAAAGCTATATGTGCTAGGAAGACATTTCCATCATGATTTGTTACTTTACTGATGCATTTGTTGACACGAGTTGTAGATAATAGTGCAGCAAAAGTGAACCTTGCAGAAGATTTTTTTTGTGATTTGAGATAGACTTTGAACTTCAATGAGGCGTGAAAGAAAACTCGTGGGAAAATTTATTTTGTAATAAAAACTGAATATTTTCGTACTCATGAAACACATCTATTAAATATGCAGTGAAGGGTAATTATGAAAGTGAGAAAATCTATGTTGTATCTAATTTAAACTTCTAGTAAGAAGCATAGTTATTCAAAGCATTGAATGAAAGTTAATACAAATTAATGGTACACATATTTATTATTATTGTTTTCAAATAATAAATTGTTTGCACGTTTTAAATGCAGTGTATTTTCTTACAATTTATAACGCACTTTTTAATGAAACAAAAATGAAGTATAGTAGTTTTATGTATTAAAATGTTGTACATTAATTTTTATGGGAGAGTTTCAAGGTCTTTTAAACTTACAAATTTATGAATATAATAAAATAGTTAATACAATATTAAGTTTATGACGTTTGATTTGTAGTTTATAGTAACTTTAAGAAATTCTCTGTTATTCATTGTTGTGAAGTGCTGCTTTTGTTATGACTCCAGTAATAATCCAATTTTGAAAAATGTGTATATTTTTTCTTTAAACCAGGTGTCTGAAGATGACTACAAAGTAGTAGTCAAAACGTCACGCCAACGTATGATGTAGTTGAATTTAATCACATTCATGCATAAGTGTATATATCTGAATGTTGAAATTTGAAGAGGAGCTGTTTTTTATTAATAAACCTATAGACATTCATGAAGAGAAGAAAAAAAAGTTTAAAAGAATAGTTGATGGAGAAGTGTAACTATTAGTTACTTGAAAATTCAGTTATAATTTACAAACTTTTGAAAAAAATTGAATTTTGGCGGAAAATAATTTAATAAAACAAAGCTGGTGCATGGCAGGCTTCAATAAACGTATAATACTCACATGCGCATCTTCATGTTCTTTTGATGTTATGAGACAGTTTGTTAAAAAAAACAAATGGTGGAAATGAACGTATTCCGATTACTGGTGGGGTTCGGTGGTATATTGGTTAGCGAACTGATGTACCCAAGTTTGCGGGTTCTACTATATTTAAAAGATCCTCAAGCCTAAAACAAGTGTCTGATCCAAATTTAAATTGCCTGTTTCGTCGCCCAATAGTACCTCCTAAGCGATGCGAAATTTGCGTTGTCAGATAGAAGAACGGGCCACATGCCCGAGACTCGACACGTAAAAAAAAGGATTGATTGATTTTTTATTTCGTGCTTCCAGGCGCGTCAAATATTAAGATCATTAGTCCCGTAAATGTGGTGCATATTCTACTAGGAAGACAGGCTGATCTTTTCCCGTTAAATGGCGACACGTCATATAGTGCAATTTTCCTAACAAGGTATTCTACCAACTAGGAACCGCCCCAGCCGGGACAAGCGCTAAGCTCTCGACTGATCTTCCTACATACATGGTTATGTCGTGCATGTAAATCTATGTGCGTATAAATAAGGGGCGTGGGTAGGGCAAGGAAGAGGAAGGAAAGATCGCGCATGGTCCCTGGCTCGTTTGCGAGGGTACTGCTCCGGCATTCGCGAAGTGGTTTGGATTTGATGTAAGTTGTGAACCGGTAAGACCGAAGTCTTGTAATTAAATTGTTATTTTTGTTGTTGAGAAAGACAATCATTTTTCATAAGAAGAGGCAGTCGACTGGAAGCCAATGAAGTATCATGAGTCACTAGCAATTGAGATGTTACACACCCACACCACATCTTTTCCTTCTTAACAATGTCAAGGAAACAGCATAGACCAGCATTTGAAACTGTGAAGTAAAAGTGAAAGATTTGTTCTGGAAAAAGAGCATCTTCCGGATTATTGTGAACCAACTTCACCACTTCTGATCTGTACAGTTAAATTATGCTGGAAAGCAAGGAAATGACTTCAAATTATACAAATGTCCAGTCATTATTCTTCCAATCCTAATAAACAAATTGAAAACCTCCCCTATTTTACTACAAGAAGTTGAAGGTCGGTTTCCGTAAAAAATATACTGATACGTCATTACATCATTTTCCGTACAGTTTTGTGTATTTCTAGAACATTTATATTAAAAATTTGGCACTTGCAACTTCATAATTATTTCAGGGTATATAAGTACTGCAGACTTCTAAATAATTAAAACGCATCTTTGTGTCGTAGAATCAAAAGGAAAAACAACTCTCAGCCATCAATGAGAACAGACGGAATTGGAGCGTGAAATTTCCATGCGGCTTGATTTCTGCGAAGCCAAACAAACATCAACTAACTACGTGTAATCCCAGCGATGACGAATACACCCCCGACGATCACTCGTCAATGCTCCACTATCGATCTGCCTTTAGTAATTGTGCAAATCGCTGGCTTATGCACATTCGGGATGTTCACTACTGTGGAGTGTGATGCTTTAAGATGCCCCTTGTGCATGTGCTCGCCAACAAATAATTTAGGCTTATTTCGAAACCATGGAGAAGCACGGCACAGCCTAGTGAAATCTGAATGAATGCCCTTAGATGTTAATGAAGCGTTGAGAGGAGTCGTATCATGGATGAATAGAGGTATGCCGTAACGATGTCGCTTCTCGGAATTTACGTGGAATTTCAAAACCATGGATTCTGTTGCTGTTCAACCAATCTATTTCATTTTATGTTGTAGATTTCCTATCTTTTTGGGATTTTAAAGGAGTTTATTCCTTCAACTTTTTTTATGAAAGACCTGAACGACAGTTTCTAAAGAATAAGGAAAGTAATTTCAAAGTGTACATAATGGTCATATCTTAAATATAGAATACATGATAAATATAGAAAACCATACGATTTTTTTAAATTAAAAATAATTAATAATCCTTGTTTGGCCTGTGAGACCTTTCCAGGTTTTAAATCATACACAATTTTCCCATACAAAGTTGGTAACATACTACATTTTAACATAATTACAACTTGCAATGAAATAATATTTAATTACAGAGGAGTGACCAGGAAGGGTCGTCAAGCTACTCAAATTCATTTCTGATTTGTTATTAACTGCTTTATTATCTCTTATTTTACGGAGATCGAAGTGAGTACTTGGATTGCCGCCTTTGATTTTTTTTACGGGTATGTAGGGGACCTAATTTAAATTATAGAGTTGCAATGCAGGATGGTAGGTTAGTACAAAATGGGATGAAGAGTCTGTGTATCCATTATTTTATTGGACATATAGAAATTTATTTTTGTGTTTGCTCATTGCCGATAAACCAAGGTGCGTTTACTGTCCAGCGGAGATACTTGTTGTAAATTATTTATATTGCTGTTTGCCGCACCTCCCCTAACTTGACCGGCGTAGGTTAGTAAAGGTCTTATTATATATTTGAAAATTGATAATAACGTGACGATAGAGATTTTTGAGTTTTTATTAAATACTGGATACAGTTTTAACATTTTTATATAATGTTTTGTTAGCTGTAATATTTATATGATCTTTTCATGTAAGCCATTTGTCAACGGGCAATCTTGAGAATTTTACTTAAGTGGTAAGGGAGAGCCATTGAATATACGTGTATTTAGAATTAATGGCTTTATAGCATATGATTTTTAAATTAAAATATATTTGCTTTTCATTTGGATGGTTTGATTATAATTTTCTACTACCGAAACCATTTTTTAAGTGTATTTAAATCCTCTTGAAGTTTTTTTCGTTCTGCCGCTGTAAATATTAATCATCTGCGAAAAATGCTAAATTTTAATAATTAATTTGTGGAAGAAGTTGCACCTTCGCACCTTCGACCTAGCACCGTCTGTCCCGAGCCTTGGGTCTCTGCGATAATCCCTTTTTTATTTTATTTTTAAATTTATTTCTACCTGCTCGGCATTTCTGCCTTTCAGGGGTGTTCATTAGACAAAATTCTACACATTACCTTTTAGGGATGAACATGAACATGAACAAAGGGAGTCTTTAGGGAATCGTGATCTTTTTCTCTTTGATGAACTATACGTTTTACCTAGCTTGAATATTGTTGTACTGCGCGGTTGGGGAAAGGATGTGATGAGCCGTAGGATTTATATAGTCGTTAATGGATGATATATTTAGTTCATTTTGGATTTGCATGTTGCTAATGAACCAAGGAACTTCAATGACATTTTCGAGAAATTTATTTCGTATTACTTTTATTTTATTTAAGTTAGTTAGTGTGGCGTTATTTCATATCGGGCAGGCATATGTGAACGTTGGTTTTATGATTGTTTTATAGACGATTAAGCTGTAGACAGTGCTAAGTCCGGAATTTCTATTTATTATTTGATATAGTGTAACCGTTGCCTATCTGTGATTAGGATGGCAACGCTACATTTCAATAGCGCGGGCAAGAAGTAGTAAACCTTACAGATAGACGTCCTGTGACGTTTTGAATTGAGGTTTCCGTGCTGATCGAAGTGAGAGAGATATGGTGAGAACGAGTGAAAGGAGTTGCCAGAGGAGATGGTACGTGGGGAAGATTAGCGAGAGCTAGGCGTGGAAGTGCACTCAAGAGCTAAATAACTTATGGTGATTGAATCGTGGATATGCAGCCACAAGCAGTGTATCAGGGCTCTGGCTTTGAAACGGCCACTTTTGCGACGCGCCGGACTGGAAGCCGCGAACACGTGGGCCAGGGGCGGCCATGTTTCGACCCGACATCACGGAGAAGAACGACTCCGATGCACAAGATCACGATAAGTACTGCCTCGAACGATTATTTAATAATAACATTGCCCGAGTGGATTGAATAAGGCGTAAATGAAATGCTGAAAATACTGCACTTCTAAAAAGTTTCTATGAACATTCGGGGTGTGAATAAATAGATCTTTGGAGGGAATGGAACTTCATTATGTGCTTGTGGGTGGAGGAAGTAGAATTTAATCATTTTTCTAATGGAAATAGTTTACTAATGAAACTATAATTGGGTGTGAAACAATATTCAGTTCAGAAAAGAAAACATGTAAGAGAGCATAAATTTGAGATTTCTTTGTGCTGTAAATATTTCACGTTGTTTTTCAAGAGAGAGATTGTACTGAATTAAGATTTTTTTGTTGTGTAATATATTTGTCTATTTTGAATGGGGATATTGTGTAATTTTATATGAAATACTAATGTTAAATTAGGTGAGAGGATAAATTTATTTTATCTTCTATTGATGTTATTCAAATTAATGTTTTTAACCTAGGCAAGAATATTGCAAACTGTGCTTGATAAAGACTACCATAATCAAAGTGTTACAAAGACAGTAAAAATGTAAATGAATTTATTAAATTTCGTTGTTTTCTTCTAGAAGAGAGAAGAGACATGTGTGAAGTGATTTTTATTGTACAAAGAGCAAGTTTTGTTGTTGATTTTTTGTTAAAATAAATGTATTTAAGTTTGGAAATTTTCTGGATAATCACTTCCCTTCCTAATAGGACAAAGAAAGATCCACGATCCTTATAGAAAAAAATATTATTTTTAACTGATGATTGAGAACAGATCACTAACAATAATAGAAAGTGGGGAGTCTGTGTTAATATTTTGAATATTTTTGCATAAGCTTTATCCACTATAGATTTGATAGGTTGCTTTCAGTTTAGTTTAGTGTCAAGTAGTACTCCTAAGTATTTTGCTGATGTATTTCTATTCATCCATTTTATATTTGTGCTTTGGAAACGGAGGAGACGTAGTCGAGGAAGTTTGCAGAGTGTAAAAATTTTGGCTTGAGTTTTAGAAGCGTTTATCTTCATTTTCTAGTTTGTGACCCATTTAAAGACATTATTTAGGTCAATCTGTATGTTGTCGAAGGCGCAGCTAATGTCTGAATGAGAGATAAAAGGTGCTGTGTTATCTGCGTACAGGGCAATTTCTGTATAGTCTGACTGTGGTAAATGCGTCATTAAAGGGAAAAGAGAAGTGGAGAAAGATAAGAATCTTGAGGGATTCCTGCATTAATTTCAAATCTGTTTGAGAGGCTTGATTTAATACGTACAGAAAAATATTTATCTTTTACAAAACTTCTGATTAGATGTTGTAGATACTTGTCAGTTCCTAGTTGGAGCAGTTTGTACAAAAGACCTTAATGTCAGAGTTTATTAAATGCTTTCTCAATGTCTAGGGAAACTACAATTGTGTATTTCTTGCTGTGAAATGATTTTGAATTGTATTGTTATTCGAAGCAACGTTAAGCTCTAAGTACCCTCGGAGCGACAGGCACGTCAACTCGCGGTCGCTGCCAAGACAGAACTGACTGAAATATTTTAATTGATTTTTATATCGTGTGGTAAAAAATCTCTACTTCGAAAAACATTCTAAAAGACGATTGTAGAGTGTCCGGAAACAGTTTTCATATCCTTTGTACTTTATTTTAGATTTCTAAGTTAATACCTTGTTTCAATATTAATTTTCTTCTGTATGCAAATTAAACATTGGTTTTTGCATTTATTTGTTGAATTACTATATTTTCATCGTAAACAAAGTACCATAAGAACTACCATACAAAAATTGCTTGCAATAGCCATTAATTTTAATGTAGTGAAAATGAGGAGGGTAGGGTTAATTGGAGTTACAGAATTTGTTACTTTACCTCCAAAATATTATTCAAAGGACTTAAAGGAAAATAACTCTTGTGAATATTTTACAATACCCATATGTCTTTACTCTGTGTGAATTCCAACGAAACGGTTTTGGAAAGTAGAATATAATTAATTTTTGGAAAGTTTTTCCATAGGGAGCGTCTTTCTTTTGGCAGAAATGGAGGAGAGCAATATCTCGTTAGAACCAGATTGCACAACTGTTTGGGTTCATTTTGCGAATCAATATGAGAACTGGATATAACTGTCCTAACCATTGGAGGGATATTCTCTTTGAACCGTGCATTTTGTGTATTTAAGCGACACGCTTACATATTGAGCTAGGCCAGAACCTTGTCGGTCAACGGGATGTGATGCCGAACAGAGATGTGAAATACTGCGTTGTCCCCTGGATTATTCCGCGCCCTTGGCGATAAAAGCAAATCAGGCAGGATTTAGTTTTCAGCATCAATTATTGCATTGACGTAGGTATGCAGTTGCAAATAAACAGCTAATGTTGATTAAATTAGCTGACGGGTGGGACGGAAGGGAATCGCTCCATCACAGTTATCCAAATGGATATGTTTCAAGTTAGTTGCCAAGAATGGAGGGTTATGAATTTAAAACGCATTTATTCCATAGCTGAGGTTTTGGTCCTTTAATTATTTTACAACTAATACAAAATTCTTAATTTCAACTTGGAAAAATTAAAAAGTAGGTTAGGCATCCTACATCCTTCATTTATAATTTGTATTAAAGAATACAACTTTTATCATTTTCTTCGACATATCAACTTCAGTGAGATCAACTCGTCTTATACTTACGATATTCAAATTAAAACAACTTAAATACATT